GCGGACTCAAATCTAAGCCTTACGAAGAACGCCTCCATTCACTAGACCTTTACCCATTAGAGTATAGGCGTCTTAGAGGTGATTTATTAATGGCTTATAGTATTCTTAACACTTCTGGACATCCTCTTAAACACCTACTCAAGCTTAGTTCGAATAATAACCTAAGGGGTAACACCCAGAAACTGGAAACTCAATATAGCAAGACGGGATGTAGACACAACTTCTACTCCTTAAGAGTTGTCGAAAGCTGGAATTCGCTGCCGGCCGAGCTAGTCCAAGCGACTTCTCAGGAGTCCTTCAAGAGACAACTTGACCTATTCTTAAGGACCAAGGACAATATCATACTATGATTTACCAATTTCTTTTCCTCTTTTATTGTTAACATACCTAGGTTCCTGCCTGGAGGATTTGGTAATCCCCTGCTACTAGACACGGAAGCCTGTTAAGCGAAAGCTTCTTCTATTCCGTCCACAACCATTTTGAACAAATCTGAATCTGAAATCTTTTGGTGCCTGTTTTAAAATACTTTAGGTGTAAACGCGTTCTTCAATTCATGATGAGATATGACAACAATAACTTAAAAATAAAGCTTGGTAGCAATGCTGAAGTCTCTGCAGAAAGTAAAAACGAATTTTATACGACTATGTATTCACAAGTAGAAGAGATAAAATCAAACATAAGAAATGTCGAAGAAAAACTTATCGAACTAAGTGGTACGTTGCCTTATCATTACTAATGATGGAGATGATCTTTTTCGCATGTTTCTTAAAATCATGGAACGGTCAAGTCCGAAGCTTTTGGAGACAGCCATTGGTGCTGCTTCGCAGTTTGAAATTGTGAGAAAAATATGTAATGATCATCACAAAGTTATCTGTGAAAATAAATAACAAGTCGATTGGGGTTATTCAGTGTTTAGAAAAAATTTCAGTATGGATGATCGACAACTTTTAAATTTATTTACCGTGTAGTGCCGATGCAATCAATTGTTTCGTTCGTTCTCTACAAAATTGTGTCTGACCAATTTGCACTTGCCGAATTGATGTATTTTGAATAAAATATTCGAGAACTCTTGGTATTTTTACTAAATAGGAAGTTCATTTTCAGCGTTTTCAGTCTAAATAGATAATAAGGGAAGCTGAATTTGACTCTCAAATTCTTATTGTGATTCATTTGATAAATAGCATAAGGAAATATGTATTTTCGGTCATTGACCATCAAGTTTTACATCTACAACTATCTGTCCACAACGTATAACCTATTGCTGTTGTTGACAGATTGAACATAAATGTAGGCAAGTTATTGCGTAAAGTAATGATGAAATTTGTGATAGATTCATAAAAATATGTTCTCGGAATTTTGAAAATTTGTCTATCTGGGGAGGCATAGGAATTATGAAACGAGTAAACTATTGAAAAGCTTGAGCAGATAATATGAAAAGCAAAGTTAGGAATAGCAGTAATGCAAGTCAAATAACAAGAGAATACAGGTTTGGGTGAGTTTGATCCAAGAATTTTTTATGCCAACTACTCTTGAGATGCTTGATAAGTGGATATGGATACGACTTGAAAGCTTCATAAAAACTCTTTGTTTAGCACTGCAAGCTGAGCTCTTATCGCTTTTATATTTCAAATGCGAAAGTGATAAATTTCCGCTAGACTTATCTAATATTTGACTTGGTTATAGTAAACCACACTTGGGAAATAAACAGTGAATTTGTAGAAAAAAATGAACCCACCATCTCAAGATAAGTAGCGCTGTAAGCGTTTGACACTGATAATGACCTCACCGTTTAGACTGAACGCACTTTAGCTCAAGACATTCAGTCAAACATATCCATCAGATTGCCAGCGGATGCTCCTTGCTACGCAACCCTTGCAACCACAAACCAGCATAGATTAACGTCTTCCTAACATAAGAAAAAGCTGTAAAATCTTACTGCGAACACATTCATCCCTGAATTCTGAGTTGACTAGGTTGAAATCTGTGGCATACTTAAGCTTGTTGTGTCGTTTGGCCAATTTAGTATTTTCGGCGTGAGTAATCGGAAAAATGAATATGGAAATAGTAGAACCTGAATCCTTACTTGTAATTGCAGTACGCAGTCTGCGTTTATAAGATACATGGTGCCCAGTGAAATATTGATTTACTTGTTACGCTTCTTAGTTTAGCTGTTCAACAATTATTTCTTTTAAATCAGTAGTCAAATGTAGCCTTTACCTAATTAAAAGTTTGAAATGATTTCCAAGTATGATTTTAATTGTAAAACCACATACGTTGTTTGGGATAACCGCTTTTTATAATGTGTTCTGTATTTCTTTTATTGTCACTGTATGACAAACTTTGCCTCCTATTTTTCTGTTGGTCGGAAATCAACTGATGAACTACAGTGATATTCTTGTCTTTCGCAAGTAATTTTGATTCTTAAATGAGAGATATTAAACACTTTTAGAAGAAAATTGATAATAACTTCTTTCACACTCAAAATATATGCGTTATTTATGTATTTTCAATATAAAGACATCTAATCAATAAAATTAGGCGATAACTAATTTTCTAATCCTGCCAGAAATTATTTTAACGGGAATCCCGTTGGAACTGAAAACTGATGGTGAACTTTATCGTCCACTCGGTACCCTGTTTTTGCTGACTCGTATATTAGGTTAACGTCTGTGAATGGTTCACAAACGTAGCGGATAATATATATGAAATCAATAGCTTAACTCTCAGTGATATATATTCGGCCGACGAATCCCAAGTGAGATGAGAGTTTTAGATTTCACTGCTAGACATATTCCACTTATTCTATTTGAAAAAGTAATAGATGTAATATTCACAGTCAGGTCTAAATAAGTGTACTTAGGAATGCTAGGCAACATTATTCAACAATATCCAGGACGGCTTTCATAAAGTGTAATTCCCGTAGTTGTGCATACTACATTTCAGATCACTAGATCAGTTTACTTGAATTAATTTATGTAAACATTTCTCTAATTACAACACACAATACAAAAACTGATGTAATTTACGAGTTATAGCAGTATCTCAGCAACTCATCACTGTGGCTGTGAACCGGCATGTGGAAAACTTAACATTTAATGTGACAGATGACTTTGACAAGTTTAAAAGTTTTTACATGATAATTTCTAATGAGCTCTTGAGATTTGCAGCACTCAGTTATGAATACTTAACTTTTTGTTAAACTACCAACTACAACTACCGTATTGGTGGCTTAAAATCCATGAAGTCAATTTTGAAACCAACGAAGTCCCTACTTATTTAAATATACACACAAGTGACCTTCTATGAATTTGAGATACCAATACAAAAGTGATAGACCAGTAAGAAAGTTTGTTAAGTGCCGTGACTGATTGTTCTTCAGTAACTATACATGGGATTTCAATAAAAGAATTTAGAGCTCTCAGTCATGTGCTCATGTATCTTAATCCCAGTAGTCACTGTTTGAGATCTGAGTTCAACGGTGCTATCAAATCATAGATTTATGCAAGTCAAGAAATACTTATTTTAACAATGCCCATATATTCTGGTGTTTTGCCCTGTTCATTAGATAATATAATTACTGAACATTCTTGAATATCTTGTCGTTCTAGATAATCTCATCGGCACCCACCTCTTCATGTTTAAGCATTCAACTGAGCTGTAAATCTTCTCCAACATAGGATGATAAATTATGTAAGTTAATTGAATAAGCTTTAAAATTAGAAAACAAAATCTCCGGCCGTCATTGATGAGATATTCATTTCAACCAAAACTTAGTTTTATTCTTACTTAAAGTAAATACGAAAACAGAAAAAAATTATAAACTGAAATCATTCAAAATGAAAGTAGAACTTGATAATTTAAGAGAGAAAACAAACACCATCAAACAAAAGTTAAAACCAAAAATAAACAGAATTAACTATTAATAAAATGATCATGTTATGATCAAGATTCAATGAATTAAATTACGATTGACCACGTGAAGTAAACTGTGAGACAAAAGCATTTCAATACTACTTAATACTGATTTAGTAAGTAAGTAACCAATATACCAACAACAACAAAAGTGGAAAGATCATTATCTCAATCAAAAACTTAATAATCTCCACAACTCCTATACTAGTAATCAACATGTGCTCACTAGTGACTAGCTTCGTCAGGGAATTCTCGGAGTTCTAGTGAGAAGCCGTGACCAGTTGAGCTAATCCTTGTCAAGTAGAGACAGTTATCTACCTCAGTACAATGGAAGTTGGTCGTGCAATTTCGTGGATTGGTTGATGTTAGAAACTATCACCATTGGATGCCGGCCCAGTGGTCCAGTTGGTTAAGCGTTCGCGAGCGAAAGCGAAGGCCCTGGGTTCGAATCCCGCTCGCGGGATCGTGGATGCGCACTGCTGAGGAGTCCCACAATAGGACGAAACGGCCGTCCAGTGCTTCCAGGTTTTAAATTGTGATGGTCTAACATCAATTGGTTCATGATCTCAATCAAAAAGTGGAAAGAAGCAATAGCATCATTTAGATGACTACTATATTATATACAGAGAAATGCAATAGAATAACGATGATGGATTAGACATCATAATGGACTAGGTGGAGTTTATCTGTTTGATCATCTCTACAAAATAACAACATTTTCTTTGATTTTGAACATGAATAAACAAGAAAGATATTGATGTGAATACGATGAAGAGTCCAGATTACTCAGTTAAAAGAAACTAAAATGTGAATAAGGGGAGGTGGGCAAGAAGAGAGATACAATGAAAGAATAGTAGCAAAGGTAAAGGTTAAAAGGTTAAAAAGCAAGATGTAACTGAATAGACGCACACACACACACAGAGGGGGGAGAGAGAAAAAAGGGAATTTAAATAGAAGAAAGCACATTCTATGCAAATTAACCATCTAATTGATAATAAGAACAATGAAAAGTTGAAAGAAACTAAACCAATTCGTCCAATTGTAACATTATTCACAACATTGTGTAATCATGATTAAATGAATCATACTTAATAGACCCATGTAACTGGTATCCATTGTGGAGTGATTTGAAAGTCATCGATTACACGTTTAAGTTGAATAATTGTTTCTTCAATATCATTGTTAATAATTTTTAAGTCGAAAAAATGACTATAATGTTGTTCTAATAATGCACTATCACGTGTTAATCTTTCAAGACTTTCATCCTATGGAGAAAAAAAGTGAACAAATTGAAAGCCTAAATGTTTCTAAGGGAAAATTAATGTCTATTATTATTATTATCATCATCATTATGGGGTTGTGGAGATTAATATGTTTGTGATTGGGATCATGAACTGATTGATGTTAGATCACTGGCTCAATAACCTAGAGGTTAAATGCCAATACAAGACTGATCAATTTCAGTCCTAAAAATCAATGGTAAGATTCAAGTAAAACAATGCCAAGTAAATTAATATTCATAAGATAATTACATGGATTTGTAGCTTATGATAATGTGAGATGTGCTACTGATGTCAACAGATATCAGTAGTGTATATCATCCATCAAAAGTGAAATGTCTGGCAGCAGAAGGTTAAGAAGATCAAAGGAAAGAAAATGAGAACAAAAAATGATTAGTGTGGAAACGAAGGAGCAATGAAGTCGGAGACGATTGACTGACACTTTGCAAATAAAGTATTTACTGAATGCTGCCCAGATTTTATTTTGATGCTCTGTAATTTTGTGTTCAAATACATTCGGTTGTGTCATTTTTTGTTCTCCTTCACTACAATGGGAATTTTAGTGCACTTTTTGATTTGAGTGGCTTAACTTTTTAAACAATATACTTATCAGTTTATACTTTTATAAAAAACGGTTTTCAGAATCCCTCCACTATTACCAAAAATCTCATTCTGCCCACATTACATTGAATAGACTGTTTTCATTCCATGTGATGTCATTATATGTTCATTCATTTTGACTGTCCGGGATCAGGTTAAAGGCAAACACGATTGTGAATAAATAGTCGCTGTCAATATGGAAGCATGTTCAGTGTTTTCTTCAAACATATAAATTAACTATTTCTAACTATCCCACCTCTCTAGCCTCTTCTACCCAAAAGGTCAAAGATTATCCAAATAGAAATGAATTGAAGCCTAATTATAGTGTAATAGCATTACAATTTTTCACTGGTAGAAATCAGTATACATTTATGGAGACAACTGAATTTTTTGTGTGATCATGAACCGATCAATGTTTGAGCGGAATCGAAGGTTCTGAGTTTAAATCCCGTGTGCGATATAGTGGATGTACATTACTGAGGAGACCCATACTAGAAAGAAACGGTCACCCAGTGCTTGAACAGATTGATCGTTAATGAAAACATTAAAATTTCAGTGCTGAATTTTAAAGAAGGCATAACTGAAATAGTTATAGATCCGTTTGTAAAAATGATATTACGCAACTCACATTATTATTGTTACCATTATTGTTATTATTATTATTCTGTCCATTAGTGATATTAGTGAGAGTTGGAGCTGCAATAAAAACAATACATGGAGCAAATTCAGCAGTACGTAATATTTTCAATGCTTGCGGTTCAACATCCATTATAGCAATTAAACTAGTTGCATGTATTTGTCTTATTGTATCCAATTTTGTACCATACATTGCTCCTTCATGTGAACCATATTCTAAGTATTCATTATTAGCAATATCACGTATCATTTCATCATGTGAAATAAAGTAATAGTTCTTTCCATTCACTTCATCTTTACGTGGTGTACGAGTTGTATCTAATTGTAAAATAAATATGAAAATATTTTATTGGAGATTTCTTTTTAAAAAAACAAATGACAATTCTCCAATATCTATATGAAGTATTAACCATGTTGTTAAGGTGTTAGGCAGTCAGTTAGTCAGCAACAACGTAGAGCTTCGTACGTAAGTACATCAGTTCAAGTTACCATACCACATTAGCACAGAGATACAATTGTCGATCCAAATCACATAGCGGTAAAGGTGTGGTGTGAGCTACTTATATTGATATAAGTAGTACATAACGTGCGTTAAAAGAACGTAATGTCTGGCAGCAAAAGATGGCAAAAATCAAGAAAGGTGGAGCGAGAACATAATGGAATTTGTAAGAAAACCTATGAAAAATGGAATGGGAGACAATGGATTGGTGTTTGCAACAGAAACAATCCAGTTTGGTTTGATGCGTGAATATTTTGCAAATTGACGATTTAATATATGGTATTCAGATATTGTTGAAATAGACTGTAATTGCTGTGCTAAATACATCCGTTTGTCCCCACCCGTGTTCTTGTTCACTACAAAGGTAGTAAACATTTAAGCAGTAATCGGAAACATATGCGTTTGGAGATGTTATTCAAGGAGTATGATCCAATGAAATAAATTTGGAAAAATAAAAAATAAACGGACATGAAGAATTCAGAAGATAAAAATTTGAGGGAACACAAAGTGTGGATGCACTTGCGCTCAAAGTTTATAATATTACAGTCAGTCATGTATAATGTAGGAGCAGGCACATATGTATATCGATCCAAGTTGGCATACCACATTAGTGCAACAAGATGATCAGCAAATTCATAGAAGCAGTTACATCAATGATAGTGATATATATAGAAGAAAGGTTGTGTATCACGATATGAGACAGGGAGAATAAATTAGTTCATAGACAGAAAGATATAAAGTAATTTCAATCTCATAGTTTAAGGGAAGACAAAGAGTGTATGCACTCACACCATTGTGATCAATTCTGAGCCATGTCACCTAGAATCTCCAACAATTGGTTGTAATAGTTCCGTGCGCCCAAACCATGTAATTTGCATCATAATATTACCATACAAATTCACTTATACGTTTTACTAAAATTATGATTAGATTATTACCAGTAGTACGAACCTCATCTTGGATACTTACAACAATTATTTAATATTTGGATTTAGTAGATCAGTGGATAATATGTCGACATTTAAAGTGAAGGTTTGAATCTGAGTGAAACATCATCAATGTAATATACATATATCCATCTGGTGAGTCGTATATAGAATGAAACTCGCCACCTTTTAACTTTAATATAATGATTTAATAGGTTTTAAAACTTTAATACTATGGTTGCAGATAATGGAGGTTAGTTTTCTGATCGACTGTAATATTAATTAATTTAGTCTAATCTTAAAAATACAGACCGCTGAATTTCAGTAACAGCTTGTTTCATCAATGGCGATGGATGATATTGTTGCTGTAAAGTCAGCTGATTAAAACTGAAAACACTGAATCCCTTCTTGTCGACTCAATGATCTAATAATGACAAAAACTTGTGAATTTTAGGTTTAATCCCTAACGAGGTCATCAGCCTCATATTATCCTCATTCGTATTCCTCCATTGAAAGGAATGATAATTAAAGCAACCGACTTACAAACAATAAGTGTCAGGTTAGACCCAACTCTATCCACATCGTTTCGGGTAATAAAAGAGTATGATGAGTCCTAATGATTTAATTTGAAAGCGATTACATCGGTCAAAGCTTGATCGATCAGAATTTTGTCTCGTGATGCATTTTGGTGATTTCCTCAATGTATGTCCTATCCATTTCCATCGTCTTTTCCTAATTTCTTCTTCAGTTGGAAGCCGGTTTTTTCTCCCGCAGTAGGCTGTTGTTGATGGTATCTGGTCAATGGATGTTGAGTATCTTGCGTAGACATCTATTTATAAATACTCATACATCCTTGATGATGTTTGTAGTAGTTCTCCAAGTTTCAGCTCCGTACAGTACAACTAACTATCTTGACGTTCGTATTGAAGATTATCACTTTGATATTGGTTGATAGATAGTTGTTTAGAGTTCCATATGTTCTTCAATGGTAAGGATGCGGCCCTTGCTTTGCCAATCCTCGCCTATACATCTGCATCTGATCTTCCTTGTTCATCAATGATGCTTCCCAGATACGTGAAAGAATCTACATCTTCCACAGTTTCACCATTAATTATTATTGGGTTGTTGTTCTCCATCATTTAATTCAGTAAACAATTAGTCTACGAAAAATTACAAAATAAACTTTTATCAATATTATCATTATGTATTTATAACTCACGAGGAATAGGATATGCAAATTTATCAGGTGATGATTGAATTAAACAATTTTTAATATGACGTCGTCCAACACCATGTGCACCAAGTAATACTAATGTTCTACGACGAAATTGTGGTAATCTGACAACTTCTTCGTATGTAACTAAATCTAATTGATCATAAATAGCTGAATGTTTATTTTTGTATTTATCTTTAAAATGACGTTTATGACGTTTAAACCATGCACCACAGTGTGTAATACCCATTTCACGTGATAACTCAGCTACCTTATTTGCCATACGCCATTCTTGAAGTTTTGGACTAGGAATTAAACCCGCTGGTGCTTGACAATCCGAACCCCATAAACGAGCCTGAACCAATTAAAAAAAGAAACGGTGTTTATGTGTAGATATAATTTAAAAAGTAATAATAAACATTCCGAAGATTATCCAACATGGATCTTAAGAGGGGATTGTAAAAAATTGATAAGTTAATGCAGGAGTAACTCATCAGCTTTGAACACGTTACCCCAAAGAAATCTCTCAAAATAATTTACGTGCAAAATCGAAACGTACAACCTTTCATTTTTCTTCTATAATTCTGATCCTTTTTCTTAACAACAATTAAATGTGTACGATTGTAGAATGCCAGGAGTAATATGTACTTGCCTTATCTTATAGCGTCACAAATCACGAAAGGTTTTCAATGAGATTTCTGTAGACTATAATTTACGTTTTGTACTTGTTGGGATTTATTTGCAAAATATACGCAAAGAATTGAGAAGTAATTTGAACGTTCAAAAATGTATCCATTAGAAACTTTTTTTTCGGAAACATTGCACCACTATGTTATACAATGTTGAAGATTTTAAGTTCAGTAGACGATTTGGACACTATTCACAATCGAACACAATAGGATGATTATTCTCAACAACAATATCAAATGAATTGAACAATCAATGTGGGCGAATGAAATTAAGTTACAATGTTTATACAAAAAATATGATTATCTAAAAAAGCTTTCAAAATTTTAACTGGTCCGATTTTGTAAACTACTCGACAATCAATACAATATAGTAGTATAGAGTCTCTGTAACTTGGCTTAGAAGCTCCACATTGAAGATTTTAATTAATAAAACCAAATGATATGATAAACATTATTATTATTATTTATTATTTAAACACATAAACATTAGTACAAGGAAGTACTAATTAGATATACGCCACATAAATCATTCAATTCGTGTGACGGCTGTAAAACTGCCCATGTGCCCAAATCGAACTGTTGGTTTACTTGGGGAGACACACCTGGAGCTTTTGACCTAAAGATCTGATCCACAAGACAGTGGAGCAACGTCAGGATATGCAATCTCATGGTAGTCAGTGACCAACGATTGGTTCATACACCATTTGTTCCCTGAGGATACTGGAGCCTATGTGCACCATTGATTGGGAATCTGGGTATTCCAACTTCCCTACATGGACTCTCCTTGTCCACTAACTCGGTTCTTGCACTGGACATTCGCTTTTCGTCCTTTCAATTTCACAACTAACAGCGTGGTCACAAGAAGGTATTGAGTAGAACTTCCCTATCAGCTGTTGCATGCATGTGGTCATGTGATAGCATTTAGAGAGGGAGAGCTAACTCTCCACACTCTCGGCCGTACCATGGCATTTAAGGGCGATATGATAGACAAATTACTCATCGTCTTTCTAAATTTAGTAGCTCCATAACTATTGGTAAAGGTTTGTATTACCTTACTGCCAACAATAATCTAAACACACCATTAGATAATAATTCGCAAGTGCAATCGAAGCTTTCAAATAAAGCACATATATCTCAACAAGAACTGAACAATTCCAGTACAAAATATCAAAAAGATGGAATAGCATAAAGTTTTATACATACATTTATATCCATTAAACAAACGAGTGAGTACTATGAATCAATAGCTCCATGGTAGAATTTGAAGAAATTAGTACCGGGGTTTAAACTATCAATCTGACTATATTAACATTGAGGTCACAAATACATTCAGATGACAAATCTTTCAAATAGAATGAAACAAGTGTTTAGGATTCTCATTGTAAAACACAATTCAATCATACAAATGATCATAATGAAGTTATTTTCACATAAGAACAAATGAGTTGGTACATTTGAATGAACATAAATCCATAGAATAAAAGGTATCTACACATTCTTCAAATATAGAAACATATATTATTAGTATGGGGATTTGTGAAGATTGTAGTATTTTATTAGTTGAATTCACGAGTTGATCTAAACTAGACCATCATTGACAAATAAACTGTGTCGGTTGTGAGATCGATTGAATTTAGACAATAACACCTCTGTATGCTGGATGAGTGGCCTACAGGTTAAGCGTACGCGCGCGAGACAGAAGGTCAGGTCTCGCGTGCGATCTCGGGATTCGAACCCTGGACCTACTAGGTTGCGCATTGCTGAGGAGTGCCACAATAGGACAAAACGGGAGTCCAGTGCTTTCATTTTAAATGAGTATAGGATAAATGATTATAATGAATATCTATTTCTTACTTGCCACCAATTATGATCATCTTTACTAATAATTTGTAATATATCTCCAATATGAAAATGTATACCAGCTTGACTACATGGTATTAAATCATCATTTTCAGGACTATAATCAAACATTGCACGAACATAGATCTAAAGAAAAGAAAATATATTTAATTTAAGGGGCTTTAAAATGTATTCTTTCAAAAGAATTTTATTCATCGGTTGAAGTTCATTTTCTCTACACAGTGAAATAACTAACTTCAAGGAATCTTCACATTTATATTCTATGAGATTGATTAGTTATTCATTCATTCATGATAATAGATGACATTAAAGCTTACAGATTCATAGATCCTCTCTATGAATATGAAGCTGTGAGTTTAAAGTTCTCTAGTATTTTAGAAACTAAAAGCGTACAGCTACCGAATGTACCTCAGTTTCCAACAGTTATACATAAAATTCCAGCAAATTTTCCGTAACTGGAGGTGATCCGAAGAAAACTTTGAATTTAAGTATCATGTTGGTTGTAACGGAAAGAGAACAGTGAAAATCTCTTTGCAGCTTCTTTGTTGGACAGTATTTTTATTTATTTGTTCCTTCTCCCTTTTGTGTATTCCAACCTTTGTTTCGATCTCAGGTATCAGACCCTTTAGTGTTAAATGTCTCTGTCATCGTTTAGTGCACTACTTTGCGTTAGAGAAACTTCTGACTGTATAGTACAGGCTGTACCGTTTGAGGCATTTTGTATTTTTGATGTAATTTGTTCTGTTTTCTTAATTAGAACCGTTTATATTGAGCACGGAGTTTGTGTTTTGATATAATATAATACGGGTATCTCAAAGACGCGTTGTGAGCTATACAGAGGAACTTGGTCTGGTCTAATCGAATAAATTTTGGGTTCGTCAGTCCGTTGTTCCATCCAAATATTGGTTGTTCGACCGCTACATTGGTGTTCTTTCTAAAGTATGAACCCATTACATCCGCTATCTCATTTGACGGCATCATTATTGATCTATTCGAGTTGTGAATGACCTATTGTAAAAATCGATCAACATTGGAGACTAGATAGGATGTTAGTTATTACACAGTTGATCAATCAATATAAATTCATTAATTTATTCCGAGGAAAAAAAGAGTTGGAGTAACCGATTCAAAAGTTTAAAAAAACGTTTAATACAAGTTTAGTTCTATGTATTTGATAATAAGTGTGGTAACAATTCACTTTCAAAAATCGATATTTACCCCCAGAAGCACAGCTATTTATTAACTACACTGAACAATGAAAGTCAAAATGATAAGCGTCTATTCATTCTAATACATAACGTGACAAAAAAATAATAAATATATTTTAATTATATTTCTGTTTTAACTTGTGACCGCCCATTAGAGAGCAGTGACTTATCTATTAAATCAATGACGCGTGAACCTGTATGAGCAGTATAGTGTCCTGATTGGTCCTACTTTCCGCCTAGCCAAGGCAGTTAAGTCCACAACATCAATCTCAGCTTCTGCAATATGAATCATTATATTTCAAACATACTGAGTTTATATACCAATCAAATAGACCACAACGCACCATAAAATAGAAAATACACATTTGTACAAGATTTGGCCAAATGTGGCTGTGAATGAGGGTGGTAGTGATTAATAGACAGGTCATAACTCATGAATGGTAAATCGTATAATAATGGTTTATAGATCAAAATAAAGCTCATGAAAAGAGAGACATGAATATGAATAGTTTAGTTATTCAACAATTATACGATAAAAATGTACGTATAGTATTGATCCATTAATGGATCACACAAGTTACCCTAAATTTTGTTTATCGAGACATAACAATTTCTGACGATGTTTCGTAACCGAATGTAAGCCACTTCTTCAGAGTGAATAAAATAACTAACATTAAATGAACACAAGTGTAAATAATACAAAGGAAATGATGGAGAATAGTCTATTTGTTATTTAGTACAATCAAAATCATAATAGGTCTGAATATTGTCAATGTTAAGTTATTCTTGGTCAAGGTGCATTTGCATGACCAGTCACTGTATTCATTTACCTACTCATTGGAATATAACAAAAAATACATTTTTATATTTAAATTCTTATCTAATGCTCCATTTATTTGAAATGATCATGTACAATCTTGGCATTAATGTTAATCGACTACTTTTCATTCATTGTAAACATTTGACATTGGATAATCTATTGAATCTCTTTGATGATCTGTCATATATCTTAACAAAGAAATAACACACTATCAATTGTCTTATGGTCTCAATTATTGTAATTGTTACAATCTCCGTAAGACCACTTCTGAAATAACACAATAGTCTTATTGATCAATTCATTTTCAAAAGTGTACTACGTTTTGAGTAGTCTATAAAAGATAAGATAGTCAAGTAGTCGATCTGTCATATTATTAATTTATATACATATATCATATTATTGAGTTGGTGAATGGTTGAGATAAGATGTAAGTAAACTCTGGGTTTACGTTTCATGTTAGATGACACTCTTTAGCAAAGCGTATTCACAATCTTGTATAATGTATACTTTCTGACATTTCAACTCAGTTTATATTAATTTTGAGACACTTAAATCAATGGTGGCATTGCAGTTTGTGCAAAAGAATTCTATCAGTACTATATCATTAGACAATAATGATACTGGTCTTCACTCAATGATCAATTATATATATAATACTTGTAATTTTAAATAGATCAAATCTAAAGAATTGTAAATAGACGAAGAATACTGTCAACGAAATCAAATTGATACAGTCTATTAGGTGGAAAACAAAAAAAAATTATTATCCACAATTCATTTTATTATGCTTCAGTTGATTAAAAGTCCATTGTTTTTTATCTCTACGTATAACATTCAACCTTTGCTGAAGATATGTGAAAGAAAACTTCAAAATTCATTTATTCATCAAAAGCTTTGAGGAACTCAAGCTGTAAACTTGACCGTTCTAAATAAGACCGATCATGACATTATTGTAGAAAATATGGTGAGACTATAACTTATGGACGACCTTTGAGAGACACTGAAGTGGACTTGAAAGTGAACACTTACTGATTAGGACAAAATGACAGTTATAAAGCAGTTAGAATGCCCATGTACAGTTGATGGTTAGGGTTGAAAATTACATTTAGGGTTTTCATCACAAACTGATATCAGCTATAATACCTAAACTCTATTTATTCAAATGGATGGGTGAATCTCGCGCCGAAAATTCGTGACTCGTTATCTTATATCTCATTGATGCATCCATAAATTATAGTCTTGCCGAAAATTTTATTATGACAAATCAATCAAAGTTTTGATATTCGTAATGCATTTTTACTTAGTCAATCATTATTTTAAATATAACCACTTACTTCACATTGTAATGGATGTGTTCTATAACTGGGAATAATTTTCAAACTCACATTTCCACGAGCATTACGCTTTGAGTAAGAATGGCAAATAGAAAATTAACTATACAATATCTTATTACTCATAAGTAAATTAATTTGGCTTAACGAAAAAAATATGTAGTTAGTAAATGTAGATATTTGGAGCACATCATTTGTTTCTTTTTAAAGAGTTTTCCGAATCAAATGGAAATACTTTAGACATTTTGCCTAAATAATACTTTTTAGAAATCTAGCAAACAATTGGCTATGCTTTCGATGCAGTTTTTTTCTCTGAGCTGGTTGGTTTGGTCGTGGAGCTGCCATCATTCTTCTGAACGACATCATCAGCACAAAATTCTACCTGAACAAAATCCCATCAAAATCATCCACCTAAGCTACTAATCTTTTCCACTATTAATTATGCTTTTTTTCTCCTCATCGGATCACTGTTTAATCTTATCACCGATTTCATTATGTTTAACAGAAGATTCTAGAATAAATTCTATTTACCTACCCTCATTTACTGTACATGCTTGATGATTTTGATAAACTTCCTAACTTCTGTTATCTGTTCATGCTTTAACAGTCTACTGGAGAAAACAAAGTGACGTGAAAGACGTGATATATGGGCTTCAGTTTACAGCTTACCAGTAAGCATATTATGTAGTACAATGTATTGTATTCCTTACAAGTTAAATACTTAATCTTGTAAAATAAACAGTGAATTGACTAATATACTTTCATGAATGCAATGAATAATGATAATCATCATGGTTATCCATTCTTTAGTTGATTTTAACTTCTTGTACTGTATATGTGAGGCAATCATGATTTACTATTTGTATAACAGATTTTCATCATTATTGGGATAAATAACTATAAACTAGACTCATTTTCTCCATGTACATAATTCCTTTTTTTTATCATAAAAATAGAAGAAGCAAATATTGATGCTAAATAATATGAACATGTTCAGTTATTTCATGCCATATATTACTTAAGACATTTGATGTTCGTAGCAATAAGTTGTACATTTGATTAAAAGTGCAAGCTTCCTGGTTCGCGTTTTTTGCGCAAATCATCAAACAACATCACGAGGCAGGCCTTAATTTGGAATCGTGAAGGAAAAAGGAAAAGAGGAAGTCCAAATAATACATTACATCGCGGAATAGAAGCGAATAGAAAAAAGGTGAATAACTGGAAAGACCTGGAAAGTAATGCTCAGGACAGGGTTGAATGGAGAATGCTGATTAGCAGCCTATGCTCCTTCACAAGGAGTAACAGGCCTAAGTAAGTAAGTAAGTAACAAGGAGATAACATCAAATTATTATATATTCAGTCTTAAATGCTTCAAATTTAGTTATTGTGAAGCTAGAATTAAATAAAACTCAGCGTCTATTATTATCCATAAGTCAATTGATACAATACAGACATAGACAATTTTATGTGTTGTTCTTGACAACAAAATATTTCTCAAAGTAGTTTCTGTAAACTAACCAGTAAACGTTGTAAATGTTCAACAGATCGACCAGCTACCGGTTCATTATTAATCTCACGTAGCTCATCTCCAACATGTAAAGTACCTGTATTTGTTGAAAGAGAGATAAATTGTAATTCATTATATTATTATACAGACAAAATAGATTGTGAAGATTGTGCATTGTAGTCGAGTCACATAGACTGAGTTACATTAGAACTTGACCGATACAATTTAGTTAACACTAAAGACTTGACAAATAGAACATTGGTTAGTAATCAGTGATTAATCAGAAGAATTATCGGGATATTTCATTCTGATACTCTCATGTTGTATACATGTACCACTTTTGATTTCTAAAATCCATGACTATCAGGATTCCTAACGAAACTGAAAATCATAATCTCATTGGGTTTTATCAAAATATTTACAAATTATCAACTGAAAACAACTTATTAAACAATAGTTAAGCCATAAGACAGTACACTTGAACGATTGATTAATCTATCAAGTAAGATATGGTTAATATCGATGAAACAGGATGAAATTAACAAATATTTGTCATCAGAAGGGGTAAACCTGGAAGCACTGGACGGCAGTTTCGTCCTAGCATGGGACTCTTTAGCAGTGCACACCCACGATCTCGCACTCCGCGAGATACGAACCCAGGACCTATCAGTCTCGCGACAGGCCAATAAGTTAGAATTAGATAGTTGTTTCAAACTGTGTTAATCAATTGTAATGCAGTTGTACACTACTCACAAGATTGTTTGTAAGTAGTGTATAGCATTAAAGTTGCAACAATTGTCAGATGGAGTGAAGAGTTTCAGTGCATTGAATACATAGAGTTCGTATAACACGTGGAGATTCGACGAAAAGATGGTTCAGACTGAAGAACACATCAAAAGATGCAAATGAAAGATTAAAGGAAATGAATATGCATTATGTAAATACTTTGTAACTTTTCACAATACATCAGTTAACTCTACTCAAGCGTTCGTTAATTACAGTAAAATGCTTTTATCTTTAGTTAAAAATCTATGGTACATATTTGTGAATATTATTTGATTATAATCGTATTAGTGTCCGGTAGATACTGCTCTCTCACTTCACTTTAGAAGGCTGAGTCACGACTATGGGTTTTCACCACACTATTTTGTTTCTTGAGCTAGCCGACACACTTGATATATTTTAGACTTCTTGATAATTCACCGATTAGAAATCTTTTTCCATCAACTAGGGAGGGTGGTCGATAGTACATTATTGAGGGAATATTAAAGAAATCTCATTCCTTATCAACACCAAATGTCGATGGAAGGGCAGTTTGTGGAGATTAAGCGTTAACAAGATCACGAACCTACCAAGAATAGACAGCTACTGAAAACAAGAAAGCATGTGATAGTTATCCCACCCTATTATGAGCTCCTTAGCAGCCAGCATCCACGGCCAAACCAGAAGTTTAACCAAGTCTTGCACAGAGAGGTTAAACTATAGAACAGTGATCCGGTACTTTTTGGTTTGCACATCTAATTTTAATCAGTTCGTGATACGGCCCAACCAGCTTCGATTATTTTCTGTGGATAGGTGCCTCACACCCAATACAGTTAGATCTCATTGTTCAAGACTTCTTCACAGAACTCCAGAAATTTACCTACGAATTTAGCCAGAAGTGAGTGAATGAAAACTACAAGTATTAAGGTTTGCTGAGATAATTGGATCATACTGAGGTCACAAACCGACCTAAGATAGTCATGTTTAGTTATTCCGTAAATGAATAATTAGATAAAGTAATAAGGCTATAACTATTTACTTATTTAAACTACATTTACAGATTATACAGAAAAAATCATGTAGCTTATTAAATCACACAGCTTGTAATTCTGTAGTTTGAATTATATTTTCTGGTTAGTGTCTTTTTTGAAGAGTTAGTTGGATGGAGTCTCTAAAACCATACCCAATCCTCCTTCTTTATCCAAGCTTGAGGCCAACAGTAGCTTCAGAGGGACTCCAGGCAGAGTTGTTATTCTATGCTAGGGAAAATAATTCTTTTTTCTAGTGTGAAATTAATAAAGTCAAACTGTGTACAATTTAGACCATGAATGAACCTCTAAAATATTCCAGCTTATAATGAGAATAATTGATGATGTTAACTATAAAATACCAAGATAAGCCATAAGAAATTAATTTCATGGAATATACCATTCAACATTCATAATAATTAACTAATTTGAAAAGAACACACGATTCCTAACAGAAATTGGATAGATGTACAATTTTATGAACAGTTGAAGAGAGCATATCAGTAATTACATTACTTACCTTGTCGATGTATCATTCCACCATGTAGAATTCTTGCAACAATACACTTATTCTCTTCATTTAGCTTTAATTTAATAACCTATAACATTAATCAAAACATAAACATGGATACAGAGGAAATTTATAATTAACTAAGAACAATTACAATTCACTACGAATTAATTGAAGAAGGTTTGTAATTCAGTCGAATACTGCTATGCCATTTCGCGGAAGGCAATGACTATGGAACTCAAAACAACTTTCAACGAATATCAAAGTCACAATCAACAATACCAACGTCAAGACAGTTCTACTATACGGAGCTGTCACTTGAAGAACTATCATAGAGAATGTACGAGTGTTTATAAGTAGATATCTATGCAGTATACTCAACATCCATTGGCCGGATACCATCAACAACAGCTTACTGTGGAAGAGAACAAACCAGCTTCCAACTGAAGAGGAAATTAGGAAAAGACGATGGAAATGGATAGGACATACCCTGAGGAAATCACCAAAATGCAGCACGAGACAAGCCCTAACTTGTAATCGTGAAGAGAAGGAAAAAGAGGAATGTCAAAGAATACATTACGTCGGGAAATATAATCAGATATGAAGAGGATGAATAACAACTGGAAAGAGCTGGAAAAGATTGCGTAGGAGATGGTTGAATGGAGAGTGCTGTTTGACTGCCTATGCTCCTCCATGAGGAGCAACACCCATAAGTAAGTAAGTAATAAGGTAAATAAGTAATTTGAATTAACTGATTCAATTGGCTTTTATTATGAAAATTTTATTAGCGTTGTAGGAAGAAGAAAAACTACCAACGTATACTTAAAGTTCGAGTGTATTTTTTTCAAATTTATTCAACAAATAATAAATTAATTCGTCCTGTTACTTATATTTGTAACAGATTCTTTATTATTTTTGACTGATATCATGAATCGAACATTGTTAGATCATCATTGAAAACCAGGAAGAGCTGGACGGCCATTTCGTTCTAGACTTCTCAACAATGCGCATTCCATAATAGGATGAAACATTGTCCAGTGCTTCCAGGTATCTTTGTCCCCGCCTTCCTTTCAACTCATGCCTTTCTGGCCCGACAATATCGAAGCTTGGTTCTGATACGCAGAAGCTGACTTTTCTGAGCACGGCGTGATCGACACACGTGCGCAATTCCTCGCAGTAGTCAGGGCACTACCGCGCGAATTCAACAGGTACGTAACACCTAGTATGTTTACTAGTGATGTTTCCGATCCTTACGAAATCTTGAAACGTTCGATTCTTAAACGAGGAGACCTAACCGATCGACAAAGTTTAGATCAACTCTTCAATAACATCGACCTGCAACACGGTTCTGCTACTGACATGTTGCGAAGAATGAGAGAAGTGATAGGCCTGAGGACTTTCGACGAAGGTCTATTTAAACAACTTTTCTTGGCTAAACTTCCTCAACAGGTGCAAGCGGTTCTGGTCTCGTTTCAGAACAACGCCTTAGACGAGCTAGCTGCATCTGCCGATCGTATTTTAGAAATAACGAAATCGTCTACTTCAGAGGTATTTTCCGTCAAAGAAAAGCCTCACACGACTCAGAATTACATAACCGAATTATGTCATACACTCACGCGTTATCTTAATCTTCGTAACGACCGTAGTCGCTCACGCAGTCCACGTAGAAGCATTTCGCGTAAACGATCTGTCTCTAGACCACGAAAGACGGTTAACCCTGACTGGTGCTGGTATCATAACCAGTATGGAAAATCTTCCAGAAATTGCAGAAAACCCTGCAATTTTCCCAACACGAAAACGACTGACTCGAAAAACAACTCGGGAAACTTCTAAACCGGCACGCGTTAACGGCAACCGTAGCCGGCGAACATAGCCGTCTGTTGTACGTCACAGATGTGACAACGAGAGTTCGCTACCTTGTCGACACTGGCGCAGAAGTTAGCGTTCTCCCAGCAAATCGTAACGACCGGCTCCACGAATCAACTCTAAACTCACAGGCGGCAAATGGAAAACCGATCGCCACGTATGGCAAAAGGTACATCTACCTGAACGTGGGTTTACGCAAACCCATTCATTGGATTTTCGTTGTTGCAGATGTTTTTATGCCAATCATTGGTATGGATCTTCTACAACATCATAATCTAATCATCGACACGCGTAAACGGAGTCTAGTAGATGGAAACACAAAATTATCCGTTTGCGTAACTTCTTTTTCTGGTTGTAGATTATCCCCAGTCACAGTTAAGCAAATGATAGACCCTCTCTATCAACCACTACTCGACAAGTACCCTGGGATACAGAAAACTCAACCGAAACTACCGTGTGTAACCAGCAATGTTACACATCACATCATGACTACAGGACCACCTGTATTCTCTAAAGCACGACGACTAGCTCCGGAAAAGCTAAGGTTAGCGAAAACCGAATTCGATCACATGATAGACTTAGGAATCATACGATCGTCAAACAGCCCTTATGCATCTCCGTTGCACATGGTCCCTAAAAAGGACAGCAACGATTGGCATCCAACTGGTGACTATCGGCGATTGAATGCAAAACCATTCCCGATCGTTATCCGTTGCCTCACATTCTACGATTTGACAGCTACCTTGAAAGGTACAACTGTCTTTTCGAAAATCGACTTGGTTAAAGCGTATAACCAAATACCTATGGCTACTAACGACATACCGAAAACAGCTATCATAACTCCTTTCGGACTCTATGAATTTTTGCGAATGCCGTTCGGTCTAAGAAACGCTGCGCAAACATTCCAAAGATTCATTGACGGCGTCTTTCGAGGTCTCAACTTCGTACATGCGTATGTTGATGACTGCTTAATCGCAAGTCCGGACAGAGAATCACATCTCAAGCATCTGGATCTTGTTTTCGAACGATTACAAAAACATGGCATAACTGTAAACGTTAAGAAATGCCAATTCGGAACCGACTCGTTAGATTTCCTAGGACACATTATCGATGCTCAAGGCATTCGACCTCTTAGGACCAAAGTAGCGGCCATTCTGGATTACCCAGAACCGACCAACGTCAAGCAATTACGCACGTTTAACGGCATGGTAAGTTTCTATAGACGCTTCATACCGAAATGCGCATTACGTATGAAACCTCTTACTGACCAACTTCGTGGAAATGCGAAATCCATTAATTTGGACGACACCGCACGAAAAGCATTCTCCACAGTTAAGGAACTGATCGCAAAAGCAACAATGCTCGCACATCAGAACACTGAAACACCCATGAGTATCGCAGTAGACGCATCCGACTCGGCAATCGGAGGATTTTTACAACAATGCGTTAACAACTCCTGGCAACCCTTGGCATTTTTCTCTAGACGGTTGCTAGACACCGAATCGAGATACATCACATTCGGTAGGGAACTCCTAGCTATGTATTGCCCTGTACGGCATTTTCAACACTATATCGAAGGCCGTGAATTCCCTCTATTCACTGACCATAAACCGCTCACTTTCTCGTTAAGCTCCTCTTCAGACAAGTACTCTCCCCGTGAGTCTCGACAACTAAACTACATTTCGCAGTTTACTTCAGACATTCAACACATCTCTGGAGCAAACAATGTAGTTGCAGACGCCTTGTCTCGAATATATTCCTTGAACAGTTTCCAAGGAATCGACCTTCTTAAACTCGCCCAGCTTCAAAAAGAAGACACTGATCTTCAGCACGAGTTATCGTCTACAACCCTTAAACCACACATCAAGCAGATGGGAACAGGTAAGGAAACCTTACTGTGTGACACATCCACAGGTAGGGATCGCCCAATTGTGCCGAAACATTATCGACGCAATGTCTTCAACACATTGCACAAACTTTCTCATCCAGGCGTTCGTGCAACCATCAAGCTCATAGCAGAACGTTTTTGCTGGCCTGGTATTCGTGGATCCATCATCCTCTTCAATGAACATGGATCTAACCTCCTACACGAACAGGCTTACAAACGCAATGCGTTCAGTTAAACCTGCTTCCACTCGACCTCAATCAACTGATGTTTTCGTTCAACCTGACTTACGATATAGTACACACGTTTTCGTTCGTCGAGACTCGCATCGACGACCTTTCGAATCAGCATACGAAGGACCTTTTAAAGTTCTTCAACGCGAACCGAAGTACTATATAATCGATAAGAACGGAACCAACGATAGCATCAGCATCGATCGCCTCAAAGCAGCGTATTTAGAAGGAAATAGTATCTACGTGGATTTTCCTTCGGTACAATTGAACGACACGGCTCCGACACTTATAATACCTCATCCGACAACCAACACACACGATGATACTTCGACAGTATCCGAAAATAAACTTAAAACGACGCGTTCTGGAAGAAGAGTGAGATTTCCAGAACATTTGAACGACTATTGCAAGTAAGGCACTTCTCGACATTTTCTATATTATTAAAAAATAATTTTTTTTAAAATAAGCTTATATATTCTCATTTCTATTTCAAAAAAAAACAAAAAAACAATTTTTTTAACGCTTTTACGTGTTCATGAGTTTATTTTCCCTTTTCTACGCACATACGAGCGTATTTTCGACATGCACTTACATTTTCTTTCTTCTTTTCCAGGACGGCTGGAAAAGAACGATGACGTTTATGAGGATCCGAAATTTTCATTGTACATTTCTTTTTTTACTATGTTGTACTCCGGTCCCATATAGTAAGGAAAGACGACCAGACGCTGCTAAATTTAGTAAGCTATCAGAAGAGTGTTTACCAACGACAAACTCGTTGGGTTTAAACTTCTGGCTGGCCACGTCTTAGGTTCATCACTGCCCCACTAGGGGAGGAGTGATCTGTAGCGGTAAATAAATCCCAAAACTAAATAGCTCCATAGGTTTTCGACATCGGATGCTGACCATATGTTTTAGTGGACTCATCTAGCTGAAGGCGCTCAGTCTTGCATCCGCACCAGATCACGTGTTGTAACGCTGCACTCAACATCAAACGCAATCACTAACCAGATTAGATCAGAGATTCCCGATATATTGGTTATCGCCAAATACACTCTTCCGATCTCCTCGACTCTGTCTTTTGATTTCTCTCGGTGGGAACAAAGTATATTAGAAGGTGTTACTGGTAGAAGCGTTGTCAAACACTGAATGCCTGTATCATCCTCAGTGGTCTAAAATTGATCGATTCATGGTGTCCATCAAAACTCAACAATCTCCACAATCAAAACTGATTATTACCTTATTATTACTAATGTCTTTATTCAATATTATATTTTTGGTACAATAAAGAGTTCCAAGCAAAGTATTTCAACAGGTTTTATCTTCTTATTTCTTGATCGATCCTGACGATAAATATCGAATGATGTTAGCAGTTTAGGAATGGACATCTGAATAATGTTCATTCATTTTAATGCCTACCAGCACAATGTTTCGGACTGGACTATTTTGTTACTTCTACAGAAAAAGGTAGTAAACCTTTCATATATGCAGATGAATAGGTTATGCGAATAGTGGACATAAAGATGTGATAAAACAAACAAATACAGATAACTTGTTGAAGTACCTATATGACAGTAACAGGTAGTACAAGTATTCAAGCAGTCTGTAGAGTTAGTCATAAGTTATAGCCCATAATATATCTTATTCTAGCTTTCGGACATTTCATTTTATTCATTCGACTTGAGTTATATTTTGACCTTGTCAATTATTTGCTTGTCAGTCTTGATCGTTTTTATATGAGCGTATATGTGTGCACAATTCATATCCCATGACTCACCACATGTCTGTGGTTTATTTGGTCTGACTATAAATATTGCGTAACGCTTGACTAAAATGAAGTTGGCTTCCCAACCATCCTCCCTGTGCAACATTTTGCTCTGTTCTTTTACATTCACTTTACATACAAAATATATATATTCAAAGGCCATTCTCGTTATTCGACTTATTCAATTCCGTTATTGACTAACGCGATTTAAGTCGACGATTATATACGAAAAAAGGCGATAGCAAACACTCATACGACCTAAATAGGAGTCAGATCCACGGGCCACTAAAAGTCCGCCAGTGTTATTTTAAAGTTTTCGTCATTTTTACATATTTGCATTTTCAACTTACATCTGATCAAGTGATCATCTGAGATTAAAGTCAGTGGAAAATGCAGAGATATTCGACATTTCCTTACAATCCTACTAAGATATGTACTTGATTAATTAAATTTGTCAAATTGCACAAATCTTCGTCGATTAACCCAAGTTTTTATACCACATCAATATAACGATATAAAATGAGGAATATGAGTAACAAAACAGATATAAGTGATGCAGTAAGAATAGTAGTAGGAAAGATTGGACATTGAGACTATGGTTCCGGAAGAAAGAATGACAAGTTATGTTACAAGAAATACTGAAACTCAAAATTGACAGAAACATAAAAAGTAAATAAATGTAAATCATTTTGACTCATTTGTAGCCATTTCAACCAACGTTTCCAACCACTGATAGTAGTTATCAAAAGGAAGCCAACACGGCTAGGATTAACAGTCGATGACTTCATGAACTGATATTAATTTGCTGGCTTTTGCTTAACCTACCACTATTTCAGTCTACCATTCGCATAAACGTTGAAGCGGGATATGAATTCATTTTCGAAGGGTAGTTCGAGCAAATGACTACCGTTATTTCTACTACAAATCTAATACAATGATAAAATGTACACAAGTATTATTAATAATCACAAAACGCTCATTGGTATACGCACAGAGAAAAAAATATGGACTAGTTTCGGTACGACAACGTCTACTGTCTCGAGAGAGATAGAGGGAGAGAGAGAAAACAACACTTGTAGGGACAAATAAATATTGTTCACATAACCTTGAATTTTTCTGGCAAGAGTTTTTTATAGCGAGTTAGTTTTCCACGGGATGGGGACGCTAACCCCATGCCCAACCCTCCTCCTTCACCCGGGCTTGGGACCGGCAGTAACCCTATGAGAGCTACAGGCGCATACACACAAACAGATGCAGATGAAGACAGCCAGTGTAGCAGCAGTCTCTGCATCAGTAGGCCTCAGTATAAACAAAGGGAAAACCAAAGTCCTCAAATTCAAAGCGGAAAACAACAACCCAATCACTCTTGGTTGTGAAACTCTGGAAGATGTAGAATCCTTCACATAACTGGGAAGCATCATCGATGAACAAGGAGGTTCAGATGCAGACGTAAAGGCAAGGATTGGCGAAGCAAGGACAGCATTCCTACAGTTAAAGAACATATGGAACTCAAAACAACTTTCAACCAATATCAAAGTGAGAATCTTCAATACCAACGTCAAAGCAGTTCTACTGTATGGAGCTGAAACTTGGAGAACTACAACAACCGCCATCAAGAAGGTACAAGTATTTATAAATAGTTGTCTACGCAAGATACTCAACATCCATTGGCCGGATACCATCAGCAATAGCCTTCTGTGGGAGAGAACAAACCAACTTCCAGCTGAAGAAGAAATTAGGAAAAGACGATGGAATAGGACATACATCACGCAAATCGTCAAACTGCATCACGAGGCAAGCCCCAACTTGGAATCCTGAAGGGAAGCGAAAAAGAGGAAGGCCAAAGAACACATTGCGTCGGATAATAGAAGCAGATATGAAAAAGATGAATTACAACTGGACGGAGCTAGAAAGGATTGCCCAGGACAGGGTTGGATGGAGAATGCTGGTGAGCGGCCTATGCTCCTTCACGAGGAGTAACAGGCGTAAGTAAGTAAGTAAGTAAGTTACCGTCAATTACAGCAAAATAAATTGTTGAAGAAAAATAAACAATTGACCTTAAATAGTCAATGGAAAAGTTGTGGTAAATGGGATTTAAGAGTTTTTTATTTCAATCAGATCATGAAATAATAATCATTTCAATGAAATATCTATAACAAGTACACGAAGTAGAGGTATGTGTGTGTGCGTATTTTAGCCATTTAATGATAAAAAAGATACTACAAACGGATGTTGGCATGTTGACATTGTCTTCATTCAAAAGTATAAGTCATTATTCTTATGTTTGATTCTTAGTGATAGAACTAACTTCTTCATAGGTATGATATTAAATTACAAAAAAATGAAGTACAATTTATGCTTTCAAAATATCAATGTTACCGTCAATTCATATTATTGAATATTGATATTTGTTTGAAATGTGATCAGGCATTGTGAAGCTCTACTGAAGATGACAATGTAACTTATTGTTATGGCTCAAAGCCGCCAATCAGAAGCAGCGAATAATCGATCGGACCAAGGACGCGTAAAACACGAGCGAGCAGCCTAGAGTCCTGATTGGTCCTGGTTGCCGCCTAGCCCAGTCAGTTCAGTCCAGAACACCAATCTCAATCTCTGCAGTATGAATCCTTATGTTGCAAACATAGTGAGTTTATATACCAATCAAACAGGCCACAACGTACCATAAAAAAGAAAATAACATTTGTACAAAATTTGGCCAAATGTGACTGTGAATGTGGGAGATAACAATTAATACGTAGTGTCAGTTATTATTTTAAGCCCATAATATATCTTATTCTAGCTTTCGGACTTCTCATTCTATTCATTCTACTTGAGTCATATTTTGACCTTGTTAGTAATTCACTTATCGGTCTTGACTGTTTTTATATGAGCGTATATGTGTGCACAATTCATATCCCATGACTCACCACATGTCTGTGGTTTATTTGGTCTGACTATAAATATTGCGTAACGCTTGACTAAAATGAAGTTGGCTTCCTGGCCATCTTCCCTGCGTGTCATTTCGCTTTGTTCTATCGCATTCACTTTACATACAAAATATATGTATTCATAAGTCAATTCTCGTTATTCGACTTATTTAATTCCGTTATTGACTAACGCGATTTAAGTCGACGATTATAAACGATTATAGGTGACAATATTCATTCATAGGATGATGGAGTCAGATAAACGGGCCACTAAAGAGGCATCAAGTATATATGCGCCGCACAAATCACTCGATTTATGCTGTGATACGGCCGAGAGTGAGGAAAGTCAGCTCTCTCTCTTGAAATGCTCTCACATAGCCAAGTGCACACAAGCACTGCTAGCGAAATCGTACTCACTGCGTTCTTGCGGTGAGGATGCTCTTTACGAAATTGAATGTCCGGCACTTTAACCGGGTTGGTGAATATGGAGGATCCACTTAGGAAAGTTAGAAAACCCTGAATTCAAACCAATGATGCACATGGGCTCCAGTATCCTGAAGGATCCTATTGTTGGTCACTGGTTACCATGAGACTGCATCTTCTGACGTTGCTCCATACCCTTGTGGATCAGAACTTTGAGTCCAAAGCTTCAGTTGTGGCCCCCTAAGGAAATCATCAGTTTCGGTTTGGGCACCCGGGCAGTGGCGCACCGTAATGCGTAGTGATGACTAGAATGAATATTTCATGACAAACATCAGACAGAAGTGAAGTGTTCAAATTTCGCCATATGCTTTTCACAGCTTTTCCTGTACACATTGACGTTGAAGTTTGTGCTGGTGATGTCGTTCAGAAGAACGATGAAAGCTCCACAACCAAACTATCCAGCTCAGAGAACAAAACTCCAACAAAATCAACCACTTGAGCTACAAATCTTCTCCACCAGCGAGTTTTATAAATGAAGATTATCTCTTTTAATTTTTTACCATTGGTTCATCTGTATTCTTTTGAAATTGTACCAAACGTACACGTGTCACTTGTGGTTGATCTGTATCTGATTCCATTTGATCATCTTCATCACCATTTAAAAATGATGACAGTGGTGGTGGAGTGACACGAATAGCTTCATGGCCATAAACTACTTGAGCTATTACATCATACTTTTGTAATAATGCCTGAAATAAAAATTTTTTATCATATTGATAGATAGAATGATAATAATGGAAACTGTATACTGAAATTATTGAACATTTAAATGATAAGATTTTGAGAGGGGTAAAATCTTTGTAAACTAAGTCATTTCATTTATCAAAGTCTCATATGAAAGAATCACAGTATGAGTTTTGTTTCTTTACAGAAGTATATCGAGTGATCAAGATTTAAAGAGATATTTAATGATTATTTGACTAGAACCATTTTCAAATTGATTAATAAACTCAATGAATATAAAATGACTTAACAAAGTAGAATGTCAATAAATGACTGAGGTTCTAAGCGAAGTAAATACTTTTGCTACTGATTTATCACTGAGTGAAGATCAACTTTATATCAGTCAGGTCCTTCTTAGTGCAGATCGAATCCTATAGACCAAGTTGTAATGTAGCCCACTAGTCTAGGTGACTCGACATTGTGTGCACCATATTCAGATAAGATGGTAATTGGAAATAGTCAACAGGAAACCGTGGACCTAGGTTTCGTATTACTTGGCACTCGTCAACAAGGTGTACCTGTAATCTTAAAAGAACTGGTGCTACTTGATGGATTTGATCTCGTGTCACCCAGATTCACAATCAAAGACGTTACCACTGGGTTAACCAGGCCGCGAATTACCTCCTGTAGGACTTAGATATATTTACAATTGATTGATCACCGTGTAGTGATCAATGTCATGTATGTCAGGTCCTTTTTAGTAAATACTTCATAACGAGATTAATATATACCACATTTCAAATCAAACCATTCAAGTTTACAAATTTTGAAAAACATTAAACACTTAAAATAAATATCAAACTCTTAATTACTGTTCTACACAAGATATTTCAATTGTGATTATGATTGTTGGTAAGTATTGTTAAACTTTCATAAATGTGTCATACCATTATAAATCGTTTGCAATGCATTTGTCAGTATGAAAGTTTTGTAATTGGTTTTGAAAACCTTTTAATGTATAATAGGCTAATTATACTGTACAATTGTCTGAGACCAAAGTAGATCTAGTATACCATTCGAACTATGGATTACATTGTAGTTAAAAGTTAAATCGCATAACTGTTAAGCTACTATTTCAATGTGGAGTGAAAGTCAATCGTGAAGTGAAATCTCAATATTTCTTAGTTGTTTTTTGATAAAGCAATTTGATCTGGGTCTTTTACTTTTATTCATTGATGTGGAAAGAGAAATAACGAAGCAATGATAAACAACAAAAGCTATTTTTGTGAGTCAATGTATCACTTCATTGGAAATCTGTTAAGTATTAACATTTAGTTTTGTACCTGCTTTATTCTGTGGACAAATAAACTTTCATTCAAATGCATAAATTACAGTTATATTCTTTTTTTATTCGAAAAACTAATGTAATTCAAACATGACCCACTTAATTCAATTTTCATTACTTTAGTGTTCGAGCTTCTGGTTAGCGTTTTTTTAGAGAGTTAGATTAAAATGCAAAATCGTGCATGGAGGACAGTTGACAAACTTGTTCGAAGTAAAGACTGGTGTCAGAAAAGGTTGCTTACTCTCACCCTTTCTCTTTCTCCTGGTGATCGACTGGACTATGAAGATGTCAAAATCTGAGGAGAAGCATGGGAAACAGTGAACAACTGGGATGCAGCTGGAAGATCTAGACTTCACAAATGATTCAGCCCTTCTACCGCACACGCAACATCAAAGGCAGGATAAGACGCCCAGTATAGCAGCATCCTCAGCAGCAGTAGGTTTCAAAATACACAAATGGAAGAGCAAGATTCTCCGATACAAAACAGCATGCAACAAACGAATCACACTTGACAGAGAAGATTTGGAGTATGTAAGAACCTTTACATATCTGGGCAGCATAATTGATAAACACGGTGGATCTGATGTAGATGTGAAGGCGCGGTTCGGAAAAGCAAGGGCAACATATTTACAACTGAAGAACATCTGAAACTCAAAACAACTATCAAACAACACCAATGTCAGAATTCTCAATACAATTCTACTGTAGGGGCGAAAACTTGGAGAACTGCGAAAGTCATCATTCAGAAGGTACAAGTATCTATTAACAGTTGTTTACACAAAATACTTCGGATCCGTTGACTAAACACTATCGGCAACAACCTACTATGGGAGAGAACAAACCAGATCCCAACAGAGGAAGAAATCAGAAAGAAACGCTGGAAGTGGATAGGACACATATTGAGGAAAGCGCTAAAATGCGTCACATGGTAAACCTACACAAGGGATCCTCAAGGCCAAAGGAAGAGAAGAATACCAAAGAACAGAATACGCCGAGAAACGGAGGCAGACATACATGAAAAGGACAAACAACAATTCGATAGAACTAGAATGGAAGGCCCAGGAGAGAGAGAGTTGTAGAATGCTAGTTGGCGGCCTATGCTCCATTGGGAATAACAGGCGTAAGCAAGTAAGTAATGTTCTAGCTTGAAAACGACTGTAATTTTCTCATTTCATATGCGTCGAGGTCTTGTTATTTATATTTTTATTTTACATTAGTTAAATCATAAAAAAATTGAAAATTACGCGTTATAAGCTCCAGGATTGTACTAAGTAACCTAACATGTCATGGTCATAAACACGATCAAGATGACATTATCTCTTTCTGCTAATTAAGCATAGACCAGTGGGCGGACAAACCAAGAACGCGAAATACACTTTTGAGGAATCTAATATGAAACAAATAATCACTGGATTTTTTTCTAATTAGTCATCAATTTGCAGTTTTTTTCTCAAATCGTATCTTCAATACACGATCATTTCTATTACCACTAATACTGTTACTACCTCTAGTTCTCTAGAATTCCCCCTGAAAATTATTATTAGAATATGGTAACTTGAACCGATGAACACATTTGTCAGGTTCTACGTTGCGTATAACCGACTGACTGATTATTAATTGACAATCATTAAAAACAAGAAAAGAAAATCAAGGAAGAAGATCCAACTGGTATCGAATTAACGTTTTTCAAATCAAAATATCAATTAGCTTAATAAGAAAATCATGGAGTAAGTGTACTACAGGAATAAGCTTAAAACATCTGTGATGAATTTCCAGACGGTTTCTAGCCAATCAGACAACAACTTTGAAAAATCGATAGTTTTGCCAAATGTAAACATATTTTTTGCACAATTAATAAGTCCATTATTGTTTGCTACATGTTTCTCTGTCTGTAAATCGAAAAAAACGACAAGTAAGCCCGTCCTAATGAATATAGATTTTACATATTCTGTAACCCTTAAAATGGCCTAAATAGATTTTCGAAAGTCCTCATATTGTTCTTAGTTATTGTTAAGTATTTAGGATAAGGATTGGGGATCTAGGGTTAGGATTCTCATCACGAATTGACATCAGCTATGATGTGAAAATGCTTTCTAATCATATGGATGGATGAACTTCGATCAAAAATGTTTGGGATATTTCTTCTATAAAGCCATGTACATGTTAAGGGTTTATGGTTAGGATTTGGGGATAGTGCCAATTTACTAGATATATAGAATTCTTAGAGACAGAATCAAACATTTAGTAAGTTCAACACTAGCACTTTCACTTTCAATCCTAAATATTAACAACTGGGTAGGGAGGTTTGTGGATCTGAGGTAAATCATTATCGAAGATCTCGAAGTATTCGATGGACGTCTCATTCTAGTACTGGACTCCTTAAACGACCACGTCCGCAACCCAGCATCCGGGAGTTGGACTAGTGCATTCGGTCTCGTGCACGAACGTTTAACCACTAAGTGCAACATTTCAAACTTTTTGAAGTGAGACATTAACAAGTCAGTTGCCGACTCTGAAGTTTAGAACATAAGCGTCCGGGAGCAAGATCGAAGATCCTGCATTTTATGAAAGCCAGGAAGTATACACGGCTATTGAACATAATTAGTTAACTAATGAAAGTATAAAATAAAAACGTTTATTTTTATTATTAAAATCATGAGTTGACCAGAGCTAGACCATAAATAAAAGCTTAATAACACATACGTAAGACTAAGTGTTTTGAGACCGAATCCCGCGTGCGCGATCATGTGTGCGCATTGATAAGGGGCTCATACTATAATGAATCAACTTTCCAGTGATTCCAGGTTTGTAATAGTGATTTAGTTTAGATCGTTTATTTATTTATAATGTGAAACTATCACAATCTCCACAAGTCCCTATATGAATAAAAGCAGGTTTTGAAAAATTTCGACCTAGAATTTCGACTAAGTTTAGTTCATCTACACAAACCTTCCTATCAATGTCACTCCAACAACGACTGAAGAAATCAGAATGTCCATCGGACAAATCAAGAGCGGGAAAGCAGCAGGACTTGGTAATATACCGGCTGAAGCACTGAAGTCAGACATCGAAGTAACTACAAACATGCTTTACCTGCTATTCAGAAAGATTTGGGACGAGGAACGAGTGCCGATTGGCTGGAAAGAAGGACACTTCATCAAGAATCCAAGGAATGGAGACCTGAGCAAATATGAAAACTACAGAGACATCAAAATACTGTCAATACTAAGGAAAGTCGGATGAAAGACGCAGTTGATGTCCAAGTTTCAGATCAACAAGCTGGATTCCGTAAGGATCGATCATGCACAGAGCAAGTGCGACACTACGATCATCGTCGAACAATCAGTTGAGTGGAACCCTACACTGTACATCAACTTCATTGATTATGAAAAGGGGTTTGACAGTGTGGATAGGAGGACGTTATGGAAACTTCTTTGACAATATGGAGTTCTTGAAAAGATTGTCAATATTATCCGGAACTCATACGACGGACTACAATGCAAAGCCGTGCACGGTCAGCTGACAGGTGCATTCCAAATAAGGAACGGAGTCAGACAAGGCTGCTTACTCTCATCCTTCCTCTTTCTTCTGGTGGTCAACTGGATTATGAAGACCCCGACATCTGAGGGAAAACACGGAATACAGCGGACAGCTCAGTACCCATTAGACGATTTGAACTTTGCAGATGACCTAGCCCTCCTTTCCCATACACATGAAAAATGCAGATAAAGACAGCCAGTGTGGCAGCAGTCTCTGCATCAGTAGGCCTCAAAATACACAAGAGGAAAATCAAGGTCGTCAAATACAACACGGAGAAGATCAATTCAATCACACTTGATGGTGAGACTCTGGGAGATGTAGAATCCTTCTCGAAGCATCATCGATGAACAAGGAGTATCTAGTACAGATGTGAATTCATGGGTTGGCAAAGCAAGAGTCGCATTTCTACAATTGAGTCATTCCGTAACAGTATCGTAGTGGAAATTCGAAGCAACGATCACAGAGTCAAATCAAAAGCACGTTCGCAACCTTCAAAGTTGTAGTTAAAAGTAACTGGAAATACGTTAACTTATTAGTAAATGAAAAACTTATGCGCCTTCAATTGGACACGGCTTCCGATGTTACATTGATCTCCAAGAACACATGGCGTAAGTTAGGATGCTCACGCATCCTACCAACGGAACATGTTGCTCGTAATGCTTCAGGAGATATAGTGAAGCTGACAGGAGAACTCATATGCAACATTCAATTCATGAAAAATAAATTCACGGATGTTTGTTATCTTACAAATGGGCACGATTTAGATTTATTAGGATTGGACTGAACTGAGCAGGTTGATACCTTGAATAATTTATCAAATAAGGTATGTTCTTACAATGTTTACTCTGAGTCTATCCAAATTCCAAATGACATTTCTAAATCAAATGCCCCCGATGTACCATGTTCTCTTGATATTCATGAATTAATAGCTTCTGATATAATGTGTTCTCCAAATTATTCTGAATCAAATGCGTCCAATGATATGTGTTCTCATGATTATGTCAAATCGAATACCTCCGACTTATTATGTTCTCATAAAATTCCCAAATCATATTCCTCCGATGTAACAAGTTTTCACAAGCCTCAAAGTTAAACCGACCAGCCTATTGCGTCAAGGTCTTAATTTAGAGTAGACAGATCAAGGTCACAACAGTGCCCATAGTCAGAACGAGGTAAAACACAATCAAAAATGAGACGAACTAAGGGTAGAACGCTTCCTTTAAGTTCGTTTCATGGAAGCAGATAAAACATTCTCGTGAAAGCTTTCGAGTGTTATGTATGTTGTGAATGAAGATTTGGTGGGGATAACCAATCCATTGTTTAGTGCAAAGTCTTACATAATTCGTGAAGATCATATAGTGAAAACACCGTTTGCAAACGCTTTATCAATTGTCCTTTACATCTTCCATTTCCAGTTCTTTTATGATTCCCTATCTGTTTTCTCAAGTGCAATCTTTTCAACCGTCCTTTGACAGGCAACAAGATATTAATAATGAATGTTCTAGATGTCAATGGGACTTATTTTATTCAACTTAGGAGAATTCAGGGCAAACTTGATGAGGCACACCCGATAGAGAGCCACTAAATATACATCAAGTTACTTAATTGTTTCAAATCGAAAAGAAACTGGTTTTTCATCACTGTAATCCATAAACTACCTACAATAATCGCTGCTATTAACGAATAGAGTAAACAATTAGCTGGAGGACTCAATATTGATACAGGCGTTATGAAATCCCTAGGGTCTAGTGAAATCATGTGAATGCGCCTTGGCAGGTGTTTGGCGACGTGTTGGTAGCACAAATATATGCAGGTACACGAATACTGGCATGTCAAATTTAGAAGAGAGCAGAAAAATATGTAGTGGACAAGAACCAAAGCAATCACGTATTTCAAGTGTTTAGTTTTAAGAAAAAAGTGGACTATCGAAGTCCTATGTAATCAAGTGTAAGAGTATGCTTTGTATCTGTTGATATCTATAGCTTCCTGTAACTACTGAGCTTAATATGAACGTGTTATTTAGAAGAGGACTTCAGGAAGATTAGATTCGAAAATTATTAAACGATAAACACTTGCTCACACTTTTATTGTATCGGTAATAAAAGTTTAGACTATGTAATTCTTATATTCTAATATTCGTTATCTTATGCCTAATCTACATACTGGTGCTATATATACCCTATGGTATTAGACACCACTAATTAATTATGTCTTTATTACTTTATTTTTGTATCACATATGACTGAGTTGTGTATATGTGGTGATTTTCTATTTGTAATGCCGTCAAATCGAGTTTTGGAGGTATACTATAGTATACTTTTTGAGTGTGAAGAGAGAATGAATTTACTTTTTATCCTCATTTTCCCATTAGGACACTAGGTGTTAATGTATTGATTATTGTTTATTAGTTGGTATACAATTTGATGAAGATCACTGGTCTTAAAGCAAATATGGACAAACTAATCAACTATCAAACTAGATAATACAAGTAATTTTGTAGTAGCGGCATGATCACACAAACCCCAACACAAATCAAGAACACATTCTTTTTTTGGAAGCACAACAGAATCGGAAGTCAACCAACAAAACACAGCTCCTAAACAACACAGTAACTTGACACAAATGAGTGATAGTAAAACAAAGATATAATATTTAGTGTTTTTGATGTATTTGGTAATGAAATTTAAAACGAAATTGTTGAACATCTGGGAGTATTGTATATTGAAGCATGATATTAAAATACACTATGGATGGATATTTATTTTCAAAGCTTACATGGTATTATCTGTTAAGATGAACAAGAAACACATAGTTTACGAGACCAATCAGGAGGACGGTATTTAACCCGGGATACAAGATGAAAAGACTACAAAAAAGAAAGATATTTTCCGAAAGTAAAATAATACCGCGTTATATAAATGTACATGATTTGGTAATATTTGTAAAATTTCAAATGATATGGCTAGTAAATAAATCTACTTAGCTATGGTATGGCAGAGACTTATTTTTGACGAACATAATTTTACAGGCTCTGGAGTCCATGTTCTAGTAATTTAATTGAAGAATTTTAGTTATCATTCAGGATAATCAACGGCTAGTTTAAATAGAACTAAACACTTAAAGATTATTCTACAAGTGAAAATCGACCAATTGAGACGTTAGGTGATATAACCCGTAACCAATAGCAACAATGCAGATACATTCACCACTTTGTCTTGTCTTAGGTCCAGAGTTTCGAAACAATTTTATACCTTCTAGTGAATTTATTATTGCATCTCATAAATCATTCTTTATGTCAAATGTATTTTTACTGTTACAGATGCTACACCTACTATTGTCCTTTGTGATACAGCGTCACATGCTGACTACTGTCAAACATACAACGTCAAAATACAGCATATTCGAGTCATTTAAACACTAGTGACAACATTGCGAACTGGTTTAAAAATAACTTGATCCATGAAAAATTGACATTGGTTTTTACCGTGATCAATTGAAATCGATGTATTTTGATGAATTGATAAAAAAACTCGGTTAAAAACAAGTAACCGTAAATTGACATTTTTACTACTCACCTCGTTATTCAATGACATATCAGGATTTTTAAAAGGCGTGGTCAATGAGTTAAATAATTGTTGTGCAACTGTATAATTTCCTTTATCAGCTGATTTAATAGCTTCTTCAGCAAGATAATTGCGTAGAACTACTCGAGGATTTACAGACTGCATTAAATTTAAACTTTCAGAGTATTGTATTTTGGTATTACCATTATTCCCTTCGAAATCAATTTTTAAACGTACTTTGTATGTTTGTAACCACATAGACCATAGACATTTATTTCTCTCTTGGTATTCTTCTTCTGTCATATGCTAAATAGAAGACAGAAAAATACTACTTTGTAAAATTTTCTATGTATTACATAATGATTGTGTACAGTTAACGTCAACACTAAGTGGTGTGTATTACAGTCGGCGGACAACTAATGTGCTGTCTTATTGAAACAACCACATTTCAGATGACGACAGTTATATAAATACACATAGTCATTCAACTATGCAAGTATAAAAGTAGATATATTGTAAAAGTAACACTTACATCATCGGATGCCAGCGACCATACCACAATGGCGTTGTTGGATACACTCTCTGTCTTCCCTTAAACTAAGAGATTAAAATCGCTTCACATCTTTCTTTCTACGAACTAATTCTTTCTTCCTGTACTAGATCCTTATTGCATTCTTTCTTTTATATATTACCACAACTGAATTAACTATTCTTATGAATCCGGTATTCATCTTGTTGTGCTAATGAGGTATGGTAACATGGACCGATGCATATATGTTCTTGGTTCTACGTTGTAGCTGACTGACTGACCTCACGTTTAGATACAGTCGAATTTCCACCAAAGACGAGCCGCTGTATAAGTATAAAAGAGGGTGAATAATGTAGATAATAATAATGATAATAATAATGACAATAGTGGTAATAATAATATTATTAATAATGACAATAATAGTAATGATAATTATTTGAATCGATTGATTGTTTATCGGAGCAAGAAAAGTAGTTGCCATAGACATAGAGTTCATCGTTTGTGTGTAGGCTGTGATAGTGCCCGGGTGCCCAAACCGAAGCAGGTGGTTATCTTAAGGGGCCACACCCCGAGCCTTTGACCTAATGGTCTAACCCACAAGGCAGTGGAGCATCGTAAGGAGATGCAATCCCATGGTAGCCGGTGACCAACGATTGGTTCATACGCCATTTGATCCCGCAGGATACTGGAGCCCATGTGCACCATTGGTTTGTGATCCGGTTAAAGCGCCCGACGTTCGCTTTCGTCCTCTCATTTTCGTAAACAACACCCCTGCCACGAGAAGGCAATGAGTAGGACTTCCCTGGCAGAGGCTGTATACGCGCGGCCGTGTGAGAGTATTTAACCACTCTCGGCCGTACCAGGGCGTTCGTGGGCTAAGTTTAGTGTCAGGAGTGGGATTCGAACCCACGCCCACAGAGTGGACTGCGACCTGAACGCAGCACCTTGGACCGCTCGCCCATCCTGACTAAAATGTATTTGTGAAATCAGCACTAGTCATTTCCATTGTATTAAATAGATTTTGAATAAGTTCTGTATCTATTTCACCCTTGGCATAAAGCAAACCTAACTAGGAAATGAATATAATAAAGATAACACATTCATATATCAAATCATTCAATTTCACATTAGTAATTATTAATATCAAGGTTTAACTTGATAATTTCAAGTAAATTGAACATGGAATATACGTTTCAAAATTAAAGTCAATGATGTGTTTGCAAAATTTTAATGATTAATTTAAACTTCTGCGGTTTCGTGACCTAGTGTGAGTCAATCCTTCGAAGTAAATGAACCAAATTAAATTAATTAAACAGTTGAATTCATGAGTCAATTCAAGCTGGACCACCATGGAAGCACTGGATGGCAGTTTCGTCCTAGTACAGAACTACTCAGCCGTGACCAGTGGAATTCAACCGGGTCTGTTGTGAGATAGTAACACACTGAAGACAATGGTGAATGGTGGCGCAATTTCGTGGATTGGTTGGAGTTAGACACTAACATCGTTGGATGACAGCCGGCTCAGTGTTCTAGTGGCTAGGCGATTGTGCTAGATACCGACAGGACCTGGGTTCGAATCTCGCCAGGCGGGATCGTTGATGCCCACTGCTGATAGCAATCGATGGTTAGAGAACTTGAATGACGTGACTCAAAAACGTTTGCGCAGGTACATCCACTCTTTATGTTCTCCCAAATTCTAATCTTCTGAATTTTTCATTTTCCTTTCTTTTTTCTCCTTCCAAATATATTTAACTGGATTATACTCGTTGAATAACATCTTCAAACCCCGATGTTTTCGATTATTGCTTATACTCTTACTACCTCTACCACTATGTGATTTGAATCGGTAACTGCATCTCTTTGCTAATGTGGTATGGCAACTCGAACTGATATACGTACGTATGAAGCTCTACGTTGTCACTGACTACTGGGGAGTCCCATACTAGGACTAAAAGTTCATCTAGTCTAGCTTCAATTGACTCGTGAATTCAACTATTAAATTACTATAATGTCTACAACACTAATCTCTGATTAAAATTAACACACGTTTGAAAAAAATATAGGAACAAGGTAGAATATTTAGCTCAATCTAAAATCACAGAATTACCAATTCTTTTTTGTTTAGGCAAGGAATCATTAGGCCACACGGAAAGAGCTGTATATTTTGGTTGAAATAAATATTCTACCATTTTTGTTGTGGCTCTAGTTCGGCTTTTTATCACGTGATTCATCCATCAATCAAAACACGACTTATAAAATCTTAGCACTGTGCCAAACCAATGACGTTCGACCGGTATGAGCAGCCTAGCGTCCTTATTAGTCCTATGTCCGTCTAGCCCGTCCACTTGAGTCCAGAACACCAATATCAGATCCCAATATGAAAATCGAATCGAATAATTTATTTCAGACATACTGGGTTCATATATCAACCAAACAGACCGCACCGCACCATAAAATAGGAAATAACATTTGTACACAATAAAGCCAAAAAGTGGCTCTGAACGTGGGAGACAGTAGTCAATAAACTGAACATAGCTTAAGAACAGTATATTGTACAGTAAAAATATATAGGTCAAAATAAAGCTTATAACAAGGAGAATATAAATATACATAATCCAATTGTTGAATAGTGATGTAGTGAACAGAATACCAGTGGAGGCAATCAAATGTATTCAACACAAAATTACAGGACTTGTTCATAAAATCTAACAATCATAATGTAAATGCTTAATTTGCAAAGTGTCCATCAATTGTCTTAAAATGACACAGACTTCACTGTTCTTGCATTTTCATGCAAATTGAATTCTGTTTCCATTCGTTACTGTTCGATCCTCTTGTCTCTCTGCTTCCCGATCTTATGTTCGCGACTAGCTAGCTCATTGGTCTTTGGTTACAGAGCCTTTGTTCAGTCTAGGTGAACTCGTAATCGCTTCAAACATAGAAAGTTTACTAACTAATATTAAAAATTAAATAGTAAATGAGAAAAGCCAGTCCACTGAAGGAATATCGGAATCGATAGGAAAAACTGAATGTGGTACACGAAGAGATTATAAATTCTTGATATTCAGAAATTGTAATCGATTTCTTATAAAATTCAGGTTATAGACTATAGTTTACAATAAAAACGTACAACTATTAAACCATTGTGTGATAACTCAGCTCAAATCAATTCACTACCTAACTTTCTTTAAATTCTGAGCTTTGAAATTACTTTACATCTTCTATTCTACGAACTTATTCTTTTTTCTCGAATCATACATATACATATATATAACTGCTTATCAACTTACCTTTTTACGCATTCTTTCCAAATAGACATTTTTAAAACAAGACATATATGTAGTATCCAACACATTAGTGAATTTTTTTTAAAGATTATCAACAAATATGCATTCTTTATTCGCTGTTTTATCAGATGAACATTTCTGTTGATCAATTAATGCTTGAATTAAACATTCAGCTAGACGAGCTAAATTCCATGCACAAACACTTGGTTGTTGAGCATATGAATAACGTCCATTTGGATCTGATGTATTCGATATATGATCCCAAGTGAACTGATCAATAAAACCAAATGGACCATAATCAATTGTTAAGCCAATAATACTCATATTATCTGCATTTAATACACTGGTTATTTTATGGGGAAAAAACAAATTGAAAGGTAATTTTCTATGAATAGAGTAAGAGTTGGAAAAAAAACAATTAAAAATCAGCAACTGATGGACAGTAACTTAGTTCTAGTTAGAAACTTGTCAACAGTATGAGCATCTACACCACTATACGGAAATGTAGACTATTTATCCCCATCACAATGGTTTGTATGTAACGTGACCTCCTCCAAACTTGATGATACCAGATTAAGTTCTGTATACAATCCTGAGGGTGCACTGATGAAGAGTTAAAATTAGAGGCGGAATGACCATCTAGTACATCTCTCGATTTCAAAGATTTTCAAGTTGATATCAAAAATTCAAAAGAAATGGGGCATGAAAATATTCTCTACAAGTGATCAACAGCTGATTTGATTAGTTGTTGCCGAAAGGTTCCCTGCCATGGTCTGAACATTTATTTTGACTTTAAAGCATTGCTTCGTTGTTTTCTACCAATGATGAACTAAGTAAACTGTTCGTGAGAATGTACACACTCATGTCATGGCTATTCAGTATATTTTTGATCTCTTCCAGTGTTTGGAACTTTTATTATGGAGTCAACAAAAAGTTGCAGTTTTTTGGTGTCAAAGAGAATTGGTTGCACCTGTGTTGTAACAAAGATTATTTCAGTACTGAATTTGTCCAGTTTGGCTATAGATACTGTTTTTTCCATTTTTACACAGAGTTCATTTTCAATGTGTTCCTGAACTTTATTGTTGCAGTCTGACATTTACATGATAATCGTGGTATTTCTTTTATATGTTCATGTAATGATAGGTGTTTTGTCTTTATGCAATTGCTTTATTGCGTATAATTGAACGTAAGTTGATTTGGTGAAAATTTATCGCTTACACCGCTCGCTATTTCATTTCAAAGGTATTTTACAGCAAGTTCAACAGAAAGGAGACAATCGTGATCTTTTCATGTCAACATTAAGAGCTTTTCTAGTTAGAAACAGTTTATGCTTGCATAGGCTTCTATATGACAGCTTCACGACTACTTAACATTAAGGTTTAGTTAGAAGTCTTCATCCTGATAAAAATTACGGTTTGACGTGCATTAAGTGAGTTTTTCAGGTTTGATGTTTTACTTTCTTTAAACTTAATGATGAAACTCTTTTACGTATTTCAGAGTGATCATTAAACTTTTAAATCCTTTGGTGCAATTAAAGAAAAAAGTCCTTTCAATACTTCGTTGGAACCATGAGCCAATCTGGTTCCTATGAAATAGCCGTTTTAGGGTAACTGCCGATCTCAAGCCTGAATAAATGGGGAGGGTTGGTGATGCATTTAGCGATCCGATTCCTCAGAAAGCAATCTTGCTAATAAAAACACTAACATGAAACGAACCCATTTAGGTTATACAACCTTTGAAAACCAAAAAGAACTGCATGGTTTCGACCGAACTAAGGAACTCCCCAGCAATATGTATTATCGACCTTGCAACTTGGAATTAAACCCAAGACCTTGGATCTTGTTTGCGAAAGCTTAACATCTAAATTGTTGAGTCGGCATCTGATGGTATACAATTTTAACTTCAATCAATTGAGAAAGATTGGTTCAATGAAGAGTACTCTTTTCGGCGAATTTGTTTTAAAAGCTGTAAAATTGCAAATATATATACTTCTTTTTCGACCTCAAATGCCCTGGTACGGCCGAGAGTGGGGAGAGTCTCCTCTACCTCTCGAAATGCTCTCACATGGCCACATGTATATAGCCTCTGCCACGGAAGTCCTACTCACTGCTTTCTCGTGACGGCGGTGTTGTTTACGAAACTGAGAGTACGGAAAGCAAATGTCTGACGCTTTAACAGGGTTGAAGGACGCATAGAGTTCACCTAGGGGAGTTGGAAAACCCTAATCTCAAACTAATGGTGCACATCGGCTCCAGTATCTTGAGGGAAAAAATGACGTATGAATCAATCGTTGGTCACCGGTTACCATGGTACTGCATCTTCTTACGTTGTCCCACTGCCTTGTGGATCAGACCTTAAGGTCGAAGGCTTCGGGTATGGCTTACTAAGTAAACCACCTGCATTATCACAGCCCTCACTTAAATCAAATGATATTTGTGTGGTGCATACGTATCTGGTGCCCACTTGTACCAATATCTATATTTTCAAATAAATAAATAAATACTTATTTTCCAGGATGATAAAAATTACATTAATAACGATGACAGTGATAATAAAATTCTGCTAAAAACGGTTGAATAAACAAAGGTAATAAAACATTATTTTTATCAGGCAAACTAATAATAATTTTTTTGTTCAAGAGTTGAATATTTATCATGAAGACAGGTAGGGGAAGCAGATGACTGTGAAAGCAGAAAAGTATGAAGAAGCAAGAAAAATATGGCATTAAGACCATGGTAGAAGAAGTTCTATCAGTTTCTTTTGGAAACAAAATTCCATTTTTTAAGATGTATAGCTATTGCATCAGAAATACTATGAAAATGCATTAAAACTGCCATTGGCAGTCTTCTACTTGCTCTGCAAATGGTTTCGAACGCAGAGTCCGCTTTAATTGAGTAACCTTTGTTCACAAGGTGTTCGATTATTGAGCGTCTTATTGAGCCGCTTCCGCTTGTATTTAGCCACTACGGGTAATGTTTTTGAGTTCCTTCGGATAAATTACGCATCGAAAGACCTATATATCAGGCTCCATTGTCTTGATTTAGGTTTCCTCCTCACGTCAGACACGGTTTAGTTCTATTGGTTACGGAGTCTGACAAAATGGTCGTCCAGTAATTTCAGGTCTTCAATGGTGTACAAACTTATATCAGTACGTGATTTCAGTGGAATTCAACAATTTTCACAATTTCATACTGGCAATTATCAATACTATTAGTTCATGAATGTTATTAATACAAATTTATAGTGTTTCTCATATATAACATCCCCTTAGAAATATTCTTGTAACGGAGTAGATAGAATTGTCTAGAAATTTGACAATTACAGCTACCTTGTAGACACATAAGTTTAAACAACATATACTGAGACATTCAGTGAAGTGTACTAGTTTCTAAGTAAATTTAATTAGATTGCAAATTATCTGCATGAATGTTTGCCAAGATTTTTATGAGCAGTTTCATAAATTCTCTAAAAACACATGAAAACACTATGTGTTAGGTGTTATTATCAACAAAGGAGGTCGATCATCCTCTTAACTTTTTATAATCGTTCTCACAGTCTTTTCATAAACCTCAACGAAAATCAACTAAAAAGAGGCTACTTTATTTTATTGTAATTGTAAACAATCTTAACATTTTGTAAATTGTCTTAGAGTTTTCTGCAAATTTAACCCGTAACTTGAAGTAGTCATAGTTTGTATATATGTACTGAATACACATCTTTATCTTCAGCTACAAACATTATTTGTGATCATATAACATTGGTCAAAATACATAGATGACCAATTTAAAAGTAGTATAATTATTCAGAATAGAAATTATTAGTGTGTTTTCACATTTTAATCTTACCCATGACAAAATCCAACAGTTTGCCAAAGAGTGACTAGGTTAGCTGTACGTTTCACTGTTTCTTTAAAGAATTCCATATAACAATTAATAATATCATTTGAATATTCTGACCAAATCTTGATTGACGAATGTTTTAAACAACAGGGAATGTAAAAAAACAAGGATAAAATAAAGATTTTATCCACTTTAAGGTGGAACAATTAAAAACGTTATTCTAACGGATAATTTATAGTTTCTTGTTCTATTTACAGAGACATAGAGTCGCTGAAAACTGGGAAATAGCAGATATCAGTATGAGAGTTGAATAGAAATAAACGAATTATTATAGCATATATTACGGATTGAACTTAGTTAGACAATCACTGAAAATCATGAAACATTGGATAGCTTAATTTGACCTAGTATAGGATTTCTTAAAAATGCGCATCCACTACCACATCCGGGACCAAATCTCAAACCACATGAATCAAATCAACTGTGAAATCATCCCACAATGACATTTGTAGGCAAGCTCTCATGGTGTTGAACTCCACTGATATCGGTTTCTCATCAGAACTCCGGAAATTACCTCACGAAATTAATTTCCAGTGGTCACACTGATTAGGTTCAAAAGCTAGGAATGAAAACTGTTGGATGCCGACCTAGGAGTAAGAGCTTAATGTCACATCATAAAGTCTGAGGGTCCTCGATTCCACTCCTGGTGAAGTCTAGATGAGCACTGTGGAAGTCAGTCATTCATAAGTAACGTAGAACATGGCCCATATGTATATCGGTTCAAACTGCTAAAACAAATTAGTAAAAAGGAAATGAAATTAACAACACAGATCCCAGAGTAATAGAGGTGGTAACAGTATAAGTGGTGATAAAGAAGAATAGGGATGGGAGATACGAATCAAGAAAAAAATATGGATTCGTCGGATAAAAAAGCTTTTTAGGATAATTCTAAGACTTGAGATCAAAAAGAAAACAGAGTGAATGCACCTGCACCATAACTATCGTAAACAATGGTTAATAGACTCTTGGTGACATGGCTCAGAATCGATCACAATGGCGTCGGTGTATACACTCCCTGTCTTCCCTTATACTAAGAGAATAAAATCGCTTCATATCTTTCTTTCTACGAACCAATTCTTTCTTCTTGTACTATATCTCTATATGCAATGTTTCTCTTATATATTACCACCTTTTACCTAACCACTCCTATGAATCCGGTGTTCATCTTGTTGTGCTGATGCGGTATGGCAACCTGGACCAATGCACATATGTGCCTAGTCCTACGTTGTAGCTGACTGACTGACCGACCTGCACCATGAAGGACGATCCTCGGCCGTATCACACTAATTCTCTAACCACTGATTACGATAGTTACGCGGTTTTCTTATGGGTGTGGCCCCCTAAGAAAACCATCTGCTTCGGTTTGGGCACCCGGGCAGTATCACAGCCCTCACACATATCGAATGAGATTTGTGTGGCGCATATGTATTTGGTGCCTCTATGTTCAAATATCTATGTGTTGAAATAAATAAATAAATAGTTACGCGGACCTCAACCAGGTAGTCCGCATCTACCAAAAAAGTTCATTGAAATGGTCAACGACTTCGTGGCTTGATGCAACATTCTGGTTTGGTCACTTTCATCTTCCTTCCTTCCAACCTACTCCCATGCCAGTCATGATCGCGCCACAAGGTATGTAGTACATGAGTACACGCAATACATTTCCCAACCACTTTGGTTGACTCACTCATTCACTACCTTATCAACCGATTTGCCATCCGTAATGCTGAGGAGTCCCGTGTTTGGAACGAACAGCTATCAGGTTTTTGCTGTTCTTCGATCGTTGTGTAAGTTATGTCAGTTTGTGATGCAAATTATGAAATATTCGATAGCCGTTGTGTCCTAGAAAGTTCTCAAGACTTAATAATGACTACTCACTGTAAACTGAAAAGTGATTCACAAACCATTCAACAGAAACATAATCGTGTGTATGCAATAATGACTAGCCCCGAAGTCAACTAGCTCGCAGAAAACCTGACCACGCTTACATTTCTCGGTTAAAACTTATCCTCCCGAAATCATATGTTCATTTGACTTCGGAGAAATATGTGACCTGTTTGGACTTGCTCGCTCTATCATCCCTTCTATTTTCAAAAGCAGCTTTACCTTTTCCGTTCCATTTGAGGTGAAGCGATATTAATTACATTTTATTATTATAGTCATTTTGATGGAACAGAAAACAACTACATATAAACTATACTATTATAACTTTAAAATATCATTAAGAATATTTATTTCTGATACAGTTAATAATAAGAAATAGAATTACTTACATGAGGATAAAATTGCTGTATTACGTAATTAGTAAGTTGTGATACAATTGTCAAATTACCAACGCTTGATCCGAAACGCCCAGTAATTGGATCTGGGGACTTAGATATTTCAAAAGATCCAAACCTTTGAAAGAAACAACAACAAAAATATAGTGAAAACTCTATTTATAACTTGTCACAACAGAATTAGGTGAATTACACAATCAAATTCAGCAGAGTGAATAAAAAATGCAAAAAACACATTTGACCATGTAATTACGGAAATTTTACCAAACTCATGAGTTGAATTGATAGTTAGTAAACATGTAAGATGAAAGAAGTGACTACGATATGGATTATTAAACAACTTTAGTAATCGTTAAGATAAAAAACAGAGTAATGATCTTTCAAAAAGTTTCTCTGAACATTATACTGCTTGGCTATTAAAACGACTGCCGATGTCAGTTAACAGTCCAATTCTTGAACATCATGTTGACACTGGTCAGATCGCTCCACCAGAATCCTTCTTCAAAGTCATCCGTGATGTCAAATAAAATCGTTTTATTCAGAGTACAAGTCAGGAACTTATGTACCGCAAAGGTTTTAGAAATCCATGGACTCCAGCTTATTCTCTATGTGCAAAAACATCAAGTTTAATACCTCATTTTGCTTTGGTCTTAACCCTCACTGTGTTTTCCGTGCTTAGTAATATGTTGCTTTTACTTAATCATTATCTCTTCATAATCATTACACACCTATTATTATAACAAATAACTATTTTATTTTTTATATTCATCAAATGAATGAACTTTATTTTAAAATTTTTTAATCAACTGTCAGGTTATTACATAACTTCTCTTCTATATTCAATTTTCCAAACAATTGACAATGCCATACTATTCTATGGTCACAACATATTAATATGCTTCAAGTTGTCAAATATCTTTCACTTGTAACCCATTTCACTTCAATCTATTAGGTACTAACTAATAATATAAATAAATAGTATATAGAAATAAGATATGAAAGATTCCCTAACTGACGATCATAAGGAAGATAGAGAAGAGAAAACAAGCATGTGCCAAGAAACGACTAACGAAGTAAGAAGGGGGGTTTGTTCCACAGTAAGCCAAGGGATAGGATTAAACCACTTCTGAAGCTAAAGATCAGGCCTCCGCCATGTGTAAATCCTTTCGACTTTGAATGCGGGTTATGGTGAAAACAGATGACCAGATTTGACCAGGTGCTAAACAGTCGATCTATTGACTGAATTCTCTTCACCTTTTATTAATCATGCTGAGTAGTGCACAGATAGGAGTAGTTGGAATGATCACGCGCTTACAGGCCAATAATTAGAAGTTCCACAAGAGCAAGTAGCTGTTAGATACATATTGAGGTCGCCCAAAGCCGTAGTTTATCCTTGGCAAATCCTTATATTAGACATTTCTTGGAAAATGCAATTCGTAGCTCATTAGAATAGAATTTCTTCTTCAAGACTCTAGACAATTAATTTCGTAAGACATCTGCGGCTGCATGTAACTCTTTAAAACTGAGTGTCCACAAACAAAAACTTTGATACGGTAATGATTCCTCCAATCAGGAATTTTGGCTTCAGATTGTTATCAGTATTTGTCTCTTCTTAATTTTGCGTTGATTATGTTTCCTACGTATTGTATTATAATTGCCACGATAAGACATAAATGAATAGGCGAATTACACGATGTTCACTGATTTGACATTAATTTATTTATATCTCATTTTGGTCATTTTAATGCAGAAATTAAGGCTTTATAACTCTATAGCCTAATGATAATGAAATTATTTACAAAATTCGTTTGCTCGAATACATCCAATTTTTGAATGCTGCTTCGGGTTTTTTAAGCTATGAAATACAAACTCTTGTAATTGATAATCTTTTACAAAAAATAATAATTACCTGATGAATGTCTTAGCTACTATGCTAGTTATACTGGCTTTTTCAGTGATATTATCACCTGTATAAAACATGTCACGCTCAACCAGAGTGTCAGATGTGATAATTGATGCAGCTGGAGTAGTTGGAATTCCTAAATAATACATTGCCTAAAAACAGTGGGATCAAGTAATGCATGATATGAAAATTATAAGGAAATAACAATCAACAATACACTATTACTAATAAAGCATATAATGTTAGCACGATAGGATACAGGTTACTGGATTCTTTGGTCAGGCTCAAATTGGAATACGGTAATTGGTCAGCTTCTCAAACAATCAGTGCTATTGAATACTAAAGTTTTGTCACATAACACTAAAGCATATTAACGAATGACCTTGAAACATTGAGTTTATGATCATTAAAATTTGTCTACGCGAACATGCGTCCCCACAGAAATTTACTCATGAACATGTTAAGACCAATGAATGTGTTCAGCATCATAAAATTGAAAGAAAAATGTGCTTTCTGTGTCTTAGTTTGAAACAAAACGACTATTGAACTAAACATATATAGATTACGTGCTGAAATGAAGATTGCTTATCCAGAATAGAGGCTGTTCACCTTAATTGAAAAGAACCGCCTCTGATAACAGACAAAAATAGAAAAGTCCTATTTCCGCACTACCTCCAACTCTATTTACTGACTTACATTTACGGTCCAAAGCACATACATAAGAAAAATAGAGAAAAGTATGTGTCCATATTTTAAAGAATGCTATAAAGAGTTTGAGATGATAAAGTGCAACAACCCTGAACGCTGCAACAGCTCAGTATTTATTGATCAGCGTGCAAATTGTCGACCTTCATTGATCTTGCAAAAATATCATCCGACAAGAATACGCAACTCATTTCCAAAACAATAGCGAATAATAAACTCAGAAAGGATTTTTGTGTCCAAAAATAGGCAGTAATTAATTTACCACCAACTTGCTTGAACTTAGACCTCTAACTATCACTGCATTTTCATAGCTTCTAAGTAACAAACTCCGATCAATTCACGAAAATGAAGTTAAATATAAACACCTTTGGGTGCTGGCCTGGTGGTCTAAAAGTTAAGCGTTCGCGTGCGGAACCTAAGTTCCTGGGTCCGCACTGCTGAAGAGTCCCATACTAAAACAAGACGGACGTCTAATATTTTCACGTTTCGAGCGGTGGTCTAACTAATTTCAGTTCGTGATTTAAAAACTATGGAAATCCTACAATCACAAAACTTTATATTAATATTATCATAAGAAATATTTGTCAAGTCAATTGTTTCATCTATTTTAAAATCCTCTTTTCGTTTATCTGTGATTTCCACTTGTTCAATTATCTAAACTTATGTAAACTTCGCAAATATTCCATAACTATTTCCCAACCCATCTTATTAATTTTCGAAATCTAGTTAATTTCTACCTCACTCCTATGCGTTTTATGTTTATCTTCATATGATGTATGTACATATATATATAGCTGAAAATTGTTGTCATTCCTATACTTTTTCAACACCAACGTTTATCACTTCATACTATACCATCAATCAATGTTACGTTTTAATAAAAATACAATTGTAAAGATTTGAAGAGATACCATCAAATAAAATAAATCCGTATTATTCTGCCTCAATTTAGGTTTTGGCTTTATCCAAAATTCAAAAAAAAAACGGATTCAGTTGAGTTATATTGGTGTCAGTTAATGATGAAAACATTTAACTTAAACTCCAACTAGGAATAATGTGTAAACTCGTAAAAATCTATTAGGGACCATTTTAAGGGTTCAAGAAGATGAAGAATCCATTTTCGCAAGTATGAATTTCTATAATGATATTTTCTGGATTTTCAAACAGACTAACCTGTAGAAGACATAAATGGGTTTGATGACTATGGAAATTCTGTTAACACTTTGTAATATTATTACATCAGTCCATAAATCATCCATATACAAGAGCTGATTTCTGATCGGTTTAAAAACTAGCCGAATATTCGTTCTGGTTGTTGTATGCTCGTCTTGATGCTATACTTTCATCGGATAGCCCACAACTAAATTAGAGCTATTTCCAAATGCGCTGATTACATGTTGAGCGTCCTTGATGTGACTGAATGCATAGTCAAGTGTGTTTGAGTGAATAAAAATTATTTTCTCACACAATGTCTAACTTTAACACCATGCTATTTATAATTTATGGTGGTGTGGTGATATTATCTGAAATAGAATTAATTCAAAAAAGATTGTGTACAACGATTATTTCATACACTAAATTAAGCGATTCATTTCATTACAATTGTTCGGTTAAATAGAGAAAACATCTGTGTCAGATCTATCAAATGATAAAAATGAAGTGTTGAGTGTTTGCCCACTATTACTTCGATTTTGTAGAAAAACAGTCGTTTTTTAGACCGGAGATATGGATAGTTTGCCAGTGTTCAATTATAGGATACTTCAAAGTATTGCCCACATACAATGGAATCACCAAGCGAGTGATCTTGAGGTTACTTATTGTGTAATACGTAAACATGATAAAATAATTGATATGCCAGTAAACCGTCTTCAATTGAGATATTATAGATGCCAAGCGACTACTTACCCCAATGCTGACTAGTATAAGAGTAGGTTAAATAGGACCAAGGGCTATCAGAATACGATATTTTATTAGTCTGTGGAACTATGGTCTACTATGATATTAGTACGGCTCTAATAATAGACCTAATCCAAAATTTGTAGATTTGTCATGATATAACTGCCTAATCCATAGGATCTTACGTGGAATTCACACCATCGACTACACCAACTCACTGTATCCTATCAATTACCAATACATGATGTAGAACAAGGTTAGGCTAGAGAAAGAACAATATATTTAATATGAATAGAAGATATAAGGTAACATTCAGCAGAGACCACGACTGCATGGCCGAGCCATGCCGTTCGATCAACCCTAGTCTATTTAGTTCATTGTTCGCGCCTTCTCCAACGTTAGGTATTTTCTTCGCGTTAAATATTGAATACCTATTTTCCGAGTAATCTCGTATTCAGCTTTGAGGATTGTGTGGTTATAGTCCAATGCCACGACAAGTCGATGAAGTTACTGGGTAATGGTCTAAACCGATTGAACAGTATGCAGTTCATTGTTCAGGACTATCATAATAAACGTCAGGTGACACGTCACCCAGAATCAGTTGGAGTTGTGCAGTTTCGTTTACTTTTCTCATTATCTTCTAAATTTAGTATTGTTGTTGTCGAATGTTTTTTACTCCCACAATCTCATTTGCGCGTTTTGAACGATATCCTCTATTCACTTAGCCAATATTATTGATATCATTATCTCAGCATATATTACAGTGTAAATTGTATCATTTCCCACATAACAATATATTACCGACCGTTGTGGCTAACTTGACGTGGTGATCGGGCTTGCCTATCGTGATGAAGCAACCGAGCTATACTGGCTGGAACAACCGTTCCTCAAGGTCCTACCATGTCAGACAGGTCGGTTGATGAGCGACAAGACTAAAAGCAACAAACCCAAGGTCCGAAGGCGAGGTCGTACAGCAGACTGTACAGAGGTATGACAGCAGTAAAGTGTTTCCTTCAGATAACCAGCATGACAGCGATGCTGCCTTTCCACAAGGAGGGGTGGGGTTAGAAAAGGTCGACCTTAAAAATGCACACCTCGCCTTATCCCACGGATATCCGTCTCCGGCGGTAAGGTCTCAATAAATACGGAGCTAACACAAAAATTACCCATAACAAGGGCGTGTGTGACCGACCTCAAGCAGTTGTCCCTTGGGCACTGCGGTCACGCTCCCTGGTCACTAAGACCACTTCTAATCCGATTTCCTTTTCAGGTACCTCAAGAAGAACCCTTCCACGGTGTGGGCTACCGGGAATTGATAACCGCCCTCATACCTCTAACAGCACTCAAGACCACTGTATTCATAATCAACCTCCCTCTTCAATTCCTATAATTCCTCCGACATCGACTCCAAATTTCCTCTCTCGGTTTCCTCCTCAAATGCCACCATAGCCAACGATTCTAGTGCTCAAAACACTGTCCCAAGTCTACTGAAATCTCGCTCCAAACTACACATTAGAGCCTCCAACGTTCGCACTCTATGTCAAATCGGTCGGCAGGCTTCCTTGGCTAAAACCCTAGAGTCTCCTACCATTGATGTGTGCTGTGTCTCCGAAACACACATACAGGATTCCAGTGTGATTATTCACTTGACCTCACCTCGGCAAAACGGAGAGACTACGAGACACATCCCTCGTGTATCTAGTGACCCGATGGCCAGTTCTCGTGGACTGGCAGGTGTAGGCGTAGCACTAAGCATGATGGTCGAACAAGCAATTTTAGAGTGAATCCCCGTCAACAGTCGTTTATGTGCTGTTCGGCTAAACGGCTACGTAAGAACTCGGAAAGATACGGACCTACGTCGTTACTCGTTCCAGACCTGGTCGTGGCTGCGTCGACCACATATTCACCATTCGTCAGGTTTTAGAACACAGGCATATTTATCGGCGTCCAAAAATGGTGGTCTTTTTTGACATAAAAGCAGCATTTGACTCTATAGACCGCAAGATTCTGTGGCAGTGTCTGTCATTGAAAGGCGTACCTCAGAAGTACATAAGCCTTGTGAAAGCTCTTTACTCGAACACTACCAGTCGAGTCAGAGCTTATGGCGAACTGTCATCTACTTTTGCAACCTCAAGTGGTGTCCGTCAAGGCTGTCCACTTTCTCCATTTCTGATTAACTTCATCATAGATCTACTGATGGAAATAACATTCTCGTCGACTGAATTCTCGGGTATTGATCTCCTTCCAGGAGGTCCACTTATCGACTTAGAATACGCAGATGATATAGTCCTGTTTGGTGAAGACGCTGATAAAATGCAGTCTTTTGGTAGCACTAAGCAACAATGCCAGAATGTTTGGAATGCGCTTCTCTCATTCTAAATGCAAGTTGTTGATTCAGGACTGGCCTGCGTCGACACCTGAACAAAGGATAGGGAGTGAAGTAGTCGAACGCGTTGACAACTTCACTTATCTTGGAAGTCTGATCAGCCCCAATGGGTTGGTATCGGACGAAATCTCAGCACGGATTCGAAAAGCTCGTTTGGCTTTC